ACCCAAATGAGATTTCTGGAAAATGGCGAGATCTCTCTTTTCCTAAATTGCCCACAAGCTATTGAAGCTCTCAGAGCAACAGGTAATAATGAGAAGGTTGCCTTGGGCTGTCCTCTCTATTCTTGATGTCCAGCATCGCGAGAGTATTCCTGCTGAAATTCACCGACTCATGAAGCATTCCTCTGGCTGAGCTTTACTGAGTAGATGTAATCAAGCAGCTTTGCCATGTGCTTTTCCCATGGAGCCATTGTTTGCTACCAGTTTCTGAAACAGGCCTACATCACTTACTCGGGAATGCCTGTCAGATGTCTGATGGGGATAAACCCAGTGGCTTCGGCTGGCTTCCAAGGCTGTTGCTTACTCATCATTTCAGTACATTACAATGCAACTTCTGTTGTCCTTGTTGAGACTGCCCCGGTATCTCAGCACGGTGATTATTTTCAGCCTAGAATGCTTGGGGAAGTCCTGAGCTTGTCTTTCATTTTAATGATTGAATGGTCACAGGTCAAAGTCTTGCTGTACTGATTACCAGAATGCTAAGCTAGTCATAAGAGGAGTTACTCTCCAAGTTCCAGGTGGGAGGTTCAGAAATGTGTTCTTTGCCACACTCTGTAGGGAAGCAGTATATATATATATATATATATATATATATATATATATATATATATATATATATAGCCTTGTACCTGTAGCAGCCATCATTTCTGGTCTGCACTTAATTGTCTTTAGAACCTAAAAGAAAGAATGTCTTACAGGGTGTGATTTAGGAGTAAGTGCCGTTACAGTGGAACTTTCTTTTTTGAATTTTTGTTTTATTGTTAGCATGTTGTACGGAGGGGTACAGCCGCGCGAGTGAGGCGATGAGTACATTACCTGTCCATCGTTGTTACCCTTCCCTTCCTTGTTGTCCCACTATCCCTTCCCTCCCCCTCTTTCTTTTTTTTAATGACAACCTGGCCAACTTTTTTAGCCCTGTATGAGCCTCACATTTGTAATTCCTTATGAGAATCAAAACTTCAGTAGACTTTAGCTGAGTTTGTGGTAACATAAGTCAAAATTTTATTGAGTTACCTGTGTTCCAAGTTATAGAGATACACAAACCAAATCACAGGTACGGAATTTTCAAGTATGATTCCAGTTTCAAACTTTTCAAGTCAATATTTATCGTGTCTATGTACTGAAAACTCAGTAGTATCAGTGAACTTGTTTAGTCTATTAATGTTGGCTTAAGTTTATAAAAATGACCTTTTGTTCTCCGCTGCATTTTTCAGTTTTTGGATGTGAATATTTAAGAGAGATAATAGTAGTAAATGAGTAGAAAAATATCTGATATACTGGGCACTAGTGCACAAACCTGTAAATCCTAGCTACTCAGGAGGCTGATATCTGCAGATAGGGTTCAAAGCCAGCTCACACAGAAAAGTCCAAGAGACTCTCATCTCCAATTTACCAGCAAAATACTGGAAATGGAGATGTGGCTCAAGAGGTAACCATGAGCAGAAAAAGCCAAACAAGCATACAAGACCCTGAGTTCAAGGCCCAGTACTGGCCTGAGTTCAAGCTCCAATACTGACAAGAAAAGGAAGGAGGGAGAGAGAGAATAAATACCTCACAAACCATTAGAGAATGACATCGGGAGTGGTTATTGTTATATAGAAGAAGTACATATTCATGGTTGCAAGTTTGGAAATACAAATATGAAGGAGAATCACTCAGAGATAAGGTTCTGGCTTGACCCTACTTATTGGAAAGATTTATTAAGTAACAGTCATACTGTAGTAATGGGTCATATCCTTGGCTAATAACAAGGAGAATAATTTTTTTAACTATTTGAAACACCAATTAGTAATATCTGGATCTTAGAATTGGTTGAAAATTCTGGTATAACATTGTGTTCCAGATCACTTTAGTAGTAACCATTTTCTGTTCTTTGGAAGTAATATAACTTTAAAATTATTTTATCCAATTGATGTTTGATTTAAAACAAAAATTACTCAACCCATCTCATCCAAATTATTAACCCTCAAGTAACAAAAAATTCTATTTGTGATTTCAAAAAAGTGAAAGTCTCGATTTCATGGAAACTTGCATACTTTTTACAAACATGATGTGTAAATTGCAAATTGGAGGTTCTAAAAATCTTTGTCTATCCTTAAGCACATTTTTATGCGTATTTTTCAGATTTGCCCCACAACTTCGTAATTAACTATTTTATCTTAGAATTGGGGAGATATAATGGTTGTCAATTTTATTTCAAACTATGGAAAGTTTCCAAATTTATGTTTTCTATAAACATGTTTTGGAAAAAAACCATTAAGATAAGAATTTAGAACAAGTCTATGATATTCTGAGAAATAGTCTGAGAGGCAGTGGAGTGGAATAGTAAACTTTGAGACTTGGAAGTCAGACAGTTGTGGGTTCAAATCCTTGCTCTGCCATTTATTAACTGTATGATTTGGAGCAGGTTGCTTAGTTCCTGTGACTCTTAGGTCCTATGTATATATATTGAAGATAATGGCAGTATTGTGAGTTCTACATAAGGCAAAAATACTGAGGATTCTCTCCTGTAATAACTTTATCTATGCCATTTAAGTCATTTTAATGCCTTTCATAATGTTAAGGTACAGTGACAACTTCATACTGAAAATAAGAATGAGTTCTCCACTTTGTCTCAGGAGTTTTGAAAACCCAGAAAATGTGTCTGAAAATTGGAATATTCTCATTTTTCCTCTAGAGACAGGCTCTGCATGTAGTCATATGCATACACTCCTCCTTGGAGCTGTGAGAACTTAATTCAATTTGTAGCAGAAAATTTGCCTGGTAACTTTAGGCCTTTGTGGAAAACTTGATTGGCTTTTGACTTAGTTCTGACAGAAACAGGAAAAATACAGTAGTATGAAAACCAGATGTGACCATTGTAACTTACAGAAAGGTGTTTTAAGTTATAGTGCTACTCTATCCAGCTGAGGAAAAATCCTTTGGTATGAAACTGCATAAAACATGTCTGGTTTATACTTCACTCTCTGTTCTTTAAGAATTTCATCTCAACAGTAAGCCTAATATTTTCAAAACTTTTCAGTTTGTTCTGGAAACACTATGAACAGATATCTTTGTATATATGCTATCAGCTTTTTGAGTCGAGACTTCTTCAAACTCTAGAAATCTCATCAGCGATGGAGTCACTCTCGCCTCTTTGCAAGTGAGCCCTGTGCTGGTGCAGAGGCTCATGTGCAGCACCCATGCTTGGGCGAACCGTCTGCACCAGCACAGGGACTGCATGGCCGGACGGGGCCGGCATCCATGCATGCCTTGCATTTCTCCAGCCAAAGGGATGTTAGCATAGATACTGCATGTTTAAAAATTGAACACAGACTAGAGCATGTTTCAATTTTTAAAGAGCTCTTTATTAAGTATGCATGCCCCAAATCAGGGACCTATAGTATATACACAATTCTGAACTATATATAACATGACCTACATTAGCCTACAATCTAATAAGCCACGGTATCCTTAATTATACACTTAAAACTAAGTAAGGTCTGGATCTTGCTAGGACCAGGCAGTGTGTGTGTGAATTGTGGAGGGGACAGAGGATGCGCATAGCCACTGCCACGTGTGTACGCACACCAAGACTGAGTGGGGTCTGGTCACGTGCAGCAGGTTTTCACAGAACCATCTTTAGTGTAAACAACGAAATATTTTTCTTCTGAAACAGAGCATCTTCTCCCTGAAGAGATCGTATCACCTTTGCAGAATGCTGAGATATGATTCTTAGAGTAGTAAGTTTTTCAAAAGTTTCCTTAAGTTGCCGTAAGAGTGCGTGTGTCATTGCGTCCACTCCCGGTGTGTCAGGCAGCAGTGGCTTCATAGGTTTTTTTTCAGAATGTTCTCTTCCTGCCTTCTTAGAAAGTACAGTAGCCTTCATCTTAAGATAATAATTTAACTTGCCAGTATCGCGGAAGCAAACAGGAGAGAGCTTATCTTAAGACGTTCCCTTGTGCCAGTGACACCCTGAGAAACCACGGCCTTTCTGTGGCTGCCGTTATCACCCCCACCCCTGGGAAACAAATGTCACCATGGAACATGCAGAACTACAAAGTGACTTACATCTGATCATTCGACTGTTCAGGCAAACTTGTACTTTCTTGTCAGTATAGAGAGAGAAACATATTTCCAACTGTTTTCCTGTCACCCATCTATACTAGATGTCACATTAAAAGAATATTTTTTAAGAGGCAAAGGCTGGGTGGTGCTTGCCTATCACCCCAGTACTTGGGAGGCTGTAGCAAGAAGGCAGTGAGTTTAAGATCAGCCTGGGCTATGAAGCAAAAGAAACAGATTTGGAACAGAGGCAGATTTTTTTACATTGAAAGGCAGATTGGAAGTGGTGATCGGTACTGGTCAGGTTTGTTTACTGCAGTATATGTGATAAGTAGAGCTAAGTCTCTCTTCCCTCGCTGTTGCCTCCTCCTGCTTTCCACATGGGGCTGGAAGAGGAGCTCGAGTGTGGCTTGAAGTGCTGGTGTGGATCTAGAGGCAAAGAAGGACGCGTATGACCCGCTCAGGATTGTTTGCACCATTGTCTGTGAGCAAAGCAGAAGCTCAGTCTCTTGGTGTAGTCAAAACAAAGCCCATGTGTGTGCAGACCCCTAAGTTTACATCACAGCGGAGGGCAGTAATAATGATCCGCCAGGCAAGAGAGGTTCAGTATGTTTGTTACACTTCAGTGCCACAGACTTTGCCTTAGCTCTCTCTTATTGCTTGGAGCAGCTAGTGTAGAACCAAGGGCTTATTTCTTTTATATCCCTTTAGGGTCATGTCTTCCTCTCTGAACATTCTTCCCAACAACTGTTGGGAAGGTGTTTCCTTTGCCATCAGTCCTCAAAGGGTTTGTGCTGGCTTCTCACAGAGGAGGGAACAAATGGTGTTAGCTCTATCCAGTGTCACCACAGCCTCGCTCTGTAGTTACCACCTGGTGTTTTGTTTTGTTTCTCTTCCAGAGTGAAAGAATTGAAAAAGGCCAAGGAACTTGAAGACATACAGCAGCATCCCTTAGCAATGTGACATTGCTTTTCAGACTGTTTTCATTTCTGTTTTTAGCAGAGACATGCAACAACTACACACATGCGCACACGCACACACACGCACACACACACACAATCCCTCTGCAGTTTGGGGAGATCAGCTGCAGGATTTTAACGGAATGTTTTGGTCATTGCATTTGCACTTTCATGGACAACTTTTAATTTGATCAGCAAGACATCTTGGAACTCAATCTTCTGTTGGATCATAGGAAAACAAGACACCAGGAGGAATCGAAAGAGGCTTCCTCTTCTTAGGAAGAAGTGGTTTTCCTTCTCATATAGGGCTGTATTCAAACATCGTGTGGAACTGTACAAATATTTATACCAAAAATATAGATAAGAAAAGGTGGGGAAACACTAGCAACACAAAGGATTGCTGGGCCTGCACCTGCCGGTTATTTCCAAGAAGCTGAACCCTTGGGATTGATTCTCAGTGGAGGGCATAGATCACACAAACGTTTATCGGGTCCGCGTGTTCTCATTTCCTTCACTGTTTTGTTTGTTAGGGGTTTTGTTTGTTTGTTTGTTTTAATCTCTACAGCACACTTAATGCAACTTCTAAAATCTGCAGGTTGTTCATGTCTTGTGGAAGTTTGCAGAGGGCGGGTGTGTGGTAAACGGGTAATGCATGGGAGATAGGAGAAACAGCTTTCAGAGTTGACATTTCTTTTCTTGCCCTTGCACCTCCGAAGAACCTGCGAGGAGTCGTCACCTTGTCCCTTTCTCGTGTCCAGCACTTTAATTTTGGGCCTTACTTTCATGTGCAATGAGAATTACTTAAGAATTGGTAAAGCATGTAGCCTTTTTAGTAACCTTGGAAACATTTGTCGTTCCAAGGAATCATAAACTTTGCCTGGACATTTGCCACCTAAACGACCAGTGTGGTGCTGCATTCTGGCCAGTAAATTCCATGTGTTTGGCTCTATCTCATCCAAACCGAGTGGTCTCCATGTATATATAGAAGGTAGAAATGAAAAGTGAGAAAATATTTGAAAGGGATTATATTAATTGCTAAATATTTTATTCACAAAGATCAATAACATGGCAAGATAAAATTATCTGTATAGTTTTGTCTGAATGAGGGAGAAAAAAGTGGATGTATTGTTTGTATATATTGTATATATTAAAACAAAGAGATATGTGCATGAAATCAAGAAAAAGAAATGAGCAAAAGCAAAGCATTAGTGGCTATGGTCTGTAAAATGAAACAAAAAAACTTTATTTCACTATAAGAGTACTTTATTTTAAATGTTCTTTAGAAGAACATTTTGCTAACGCATGATTAAACTGCAAAAAATAAAAGAGCTACTGTATTTAGACTTAGGAAAAAAAGGCAGAGTAACATTACTTAAAAAAAGGATATGTTTACATTTAATTTTGGCTACCAGGAGTTTAGTTTATATTATTTAAAATTCTTTTGCCAACGGTGCCAAGTAATGTGAATGCTAATATTGCTTGAGAAAATTAAGTTACTTTTGCAAAACAGATAATCCTAAAATGAATCTGTCTATAACTTAACACACCACCCCCTCACTCCAAAAACAAACACTTAGAATAATCAGAACCTGACGAAAGAAGTAAGTAGTGTGAAGAGTAGAAAATGATCACATTTTCATACCATCTGCTGGAAATCAGAAGATGAAATAAAAAACTGCACAAAAAAGTAACGAGAAGTGAAACATACACGTAGACTGGTCTTGTAGGGATGCCATGTGAATTACTATTTCCACATAATGAGGAGCCAAAGAAATCTATTGCTTTTAAAAATTAAACTACTAATGTCAAATGGAGAGAATAAAGCTTGCCATTTGCTGATGCCAGTTTTAAAATTCCCAGGTGACGTTTGAGGATCAGTTGGTATAAAATGAGATGTTTTGACTTGGTTTGGGTGGCCAACTGTGAGTTGTAAACTCAAGGCTTGTTGTGAAGCCTAAAAATATTCACAGAGAAGCTTTTTTTTTTAAACTGGTGTCTTTAGAAGGAAGGCTGATACAAAAAGATTGTGGTAAAAACTGGGGTCAGTACTCTTGGTGCCTTTTCTATAATTGTACTTGTTTTTTAATTCCTTCCTTTCACTGCCAACCTCAAATTACTGTACAGTATATGTCTTTCTGCTTGTGATCAGCTTTGACAATAGTGACAGTCCCACCTCTTGCAGCCACCTGTACACTTGTCAATGGACCTGGCCCGATGTTGTCTTTGTGCGTGGGTTATGTTGCAGCTGTGCTGTCTCCCACATACGATGATTTCCCACAATTTGACCTGTTAGGAAGACACTTGAGTAATCTCAGAAACACACAGTTGCATTCATAACAGGAAAAGAATGTGAGAAGCCAGCTCTTTCAGAATATCCTATATTAATACTGTATTTGGGTACATTTATTCCATTAATTATGGTACAAATAACTAATCTTTTTGACCTGAGTAATGACCTCAGTGGATTTGCTTCAACCCTCACAATTGATTTTTTTTTAATGTTTCACATTGCTCCATTATTAGCCAAATAAGTTAGAAAATTCCAGAACATAGAGACTTACATAGAATTAGGAGGTTCTTATGGAGGAGATAAGAAGTAGGTTCAAAACCTGCCAGTAAAAACTGTGAATCCTAGGTGAGGTAAAAATGCACTTCCACTGAAACAAAGCATTTCTGACCGCTTTTTCTTTGGTTGTGAATCTTCCTTTCGAGTATAAGATGATAGATAGGTAAGCGCAGCTTTCTTGGATAATCTGAAATTCCCAAGTGCCAGGAGTAGGAGTTCATTATAAAATTAATAGCTAATCTTATTCTGTCTCCTGAAGATTTAATTGCTATTCTTGTTACCCATTCGAAATCAGCTGTACTGTGTGAACAAAATCAAGACAATAACACGAACCCCTCTGGCTGCACGGTCGCTTATGGCAGTTCCACACAGTAGTTGGCGCCCAATGGGGGTCCCTGAGACTTGCATGTAAAACTAGTCTAGATGTCTTCTTTTTTTGTAAGTTTTATTTTTGTATTTGTGCATGTAAAGCATCATTGAATCAATGGATCTGTTGAAGAACTCAGCTGCTGGAAACCATGCAAAATGTTTTGAATTGCCCTTAAAATATGGAAAATGTTTTCTGAATGCTTTATATTCTTTCTGCTGTAAATTAAAAATGAAGAAAATTTCCCCATAATATCGGTGTGCTTTGCCTTAACTTGATGGGAATTCCAAAACCCAAGATGTTAAGCGTATTTCAAACCAGATGGGGCAATTTTAAGTATTTCCCTCCTGTCCAGATAATGTATTTTCATACTAAATGGAACCACTTCAGGTATATCCCTGGGGGCGGGGGACAAACAACAGAATCACTTTCCCAGAGCTCTCCATCTATCTTCCATTATTTGTGTAATAAGACAATTCAGTTACTTGAAAAATGATACCAAGCTAACTTTTAGATAAAACATTCTTCGATAGCGTTCGATAGCATTCTTCGTGCTCTGTCTGCTTTGTTTGATCCCCTTAACTGCAGACCCTGTCCTTGTCTCACTAGCAGTCAGTGTCCATCTAATCCATGCCAAATGGTGCATCATGAATCGTCCCAGCTCCAAGTCCTTCAAGGATTTCTGAGCCCACCGAGTGTAGGTGGCATTTGTCTTGTTTGTCTTCACTGGGCTCACGGCACCCCTGCCCTGCCTGCACCTCGGTGGTGCTCGCCACGTCCCTCCACCTCCATGGCTTTTTCCCGGCCTTTGTTCTTCTCTTGCCTGGAGAGTTCTCTTTGGCTACTGAACTCCGGTTCCACCTCCGTGGCTCTCTTCTATTTCCTTTCTCTCCTGCGTTGGAAAAGACACCTTAGTATTTTCTTCTTCCCATCATCTAGAGATCCATTAGTTGAGCTCGGAGTGACTTGCTTGAGGTAGGAGACTATTGGAAGGCATATTCCTGGTAACAAATACACAGCGACGCTCTCCCGTGGGCCCGAATTTGAAGACCTACAGGTGCCAGGAGGGCCGGGGAACACGGGTAAGATCACCGTCCCTAGGGCCGAGCTCTCTCCAGGTTATAGCGATGGGCTGCGCGGTGCAGGTGAGGGGACTAACGACCCGCCGTGTGACAAGCCGCCCTCGGACGGGAGCAAGTCCTGCCGCGTTAGGCAGGAGCACGTACCCCGGGTGGAACTGTCACGACCACAGAAATGGCCCGCTGTCCAACAGTCCCTTTCCAGAGCCTGGACCTCCGTTGGCTACTTTGGCGGACCGCGCTCCCAACGCAGCCCGCGGCCGTGCGGACCCGAAGCCCGGGCAGACCCCGCCGCGGATCCCAGGGGCGCGGAGGCCTCAGCTCGGAGCCCGCCCTCGGCGGGCCACGCCCCCACGCGGCACGCCCCCGGATGCCACGCCCCCCGAGGCCCCGCCCGCTTCCGGAGCGCCGTCCCTGGCCGGGCGCGCCCCGCCCCGGCCCGCTGGTGACGTCACTGCCGCGCCGCCCATCTTCGCGGCCTCCTGTGCCCACTGCGCAGCTCCGCGGACCCTCGGTCGCCCCCGCCAAAATGTGAGTGACGCAATGCGGCGAGGGGCGGGGCGGGCCCTGGAGGTGGCACGGCTCGCGCCGGGGACCCGCGCCCGGGACCCTCGCCCGCACCCCGGGGGCCGCCGCCGCCTCCACCACCGCCCGCCGCCGGGCCGCGGGCCGCGTCGGCGCGGGCCTGCGCGGGGCGCCCGGGGCCGGGGGTGGGCGGCGGCGCCCGGGGTGCCGGCCGCGGACCGGCCGGGAGGACCCTCGGGGAGGGTCACCGGCCCCCGGGGCCCCCGCGGCTGTGGGGCGGACGCGGCGGGCGAGGGCGGGGCCGAGGGCTTCCGGGAGGAAGCGACTGCCCCACCCCGCAGCCATGGCTACTTCCCGGAGGTCCTCCGCGAGGCGGGGCGCCTGCCCGGTGCGGGAGAACCGACCCGGGCCTGCGGTGGGGCCTCTGCCGACCGAGGGCACCGCGGCGCCCCCGGGCCAGGGGAGCAGCTGAGCTCGGGAGGTGGACTTCGCACGCAGTCGGCTCCAGCAAGGAAGCAGTCGTTAGTGGCCCTTGAAAGCCGTTTCCTGTGGTAACACACCAAGAATGTTAGTTAAGAATCACCAGGACTCATGCTCCCCTCCGGCCTGCCCAAAAATGTACCTGATGAGCCTGCTGTGCCAATAAGTGGATCCATGTCCGAGGACCTCGCTTTGCCCATCTGTAAAATGGGGGCAACAGGAGGAGGTGATTCCGTGAGACACTGCTTACCCTGGGGCCTGACCCTTAGCTACCAGCCCCTCTGCTGTCCTGGCCCCTGGTTGTTGACACGTGCAGGTTTAAAAGGATTTAGCTGGACCCTGGTAGGTTATGCCTGAAATCTAGCTACACACAGGCGGAGGATGGTGTTTTGAAGCTAGTCAGGGTAGAAAAGCCTTTGAGACCCTGACCTACAATTAACCACCCCAAAGCTGGAAGTGGAGGTGTAGCTCAAGAGTTAGAGAGCCAGCCAGAGTGAAAAAAAAAAACTAAGGGACAGTGCTAAGGCCTGAATTCAAGACCCAGTAATGACATGAAATAAATACTGTGCAGGTTGCTGGTGGCTCACCCCTGTAATCCTAGCTACTCAGGAGGCTTAGATAGATCTGAGGATTGCAAACTCTTTATCTCCAGTTAACCACCAGAAAATTGGAGGTGGTGCTGTGGCTCAAAGTGGTAGAGCACTAGCCTTGAGCTAAACTGCTCAGGAACAGCACCCAGGCCCCGACTGACAAAAAAAGAAAACTGAATCAGTGACTATTGTTAGCAAAGCACATGCTGAGTACTGTCTTCAACACAGACAAAGAATTCTAAGACCCAAGTTATTAGAGAGGCATGATTTCATGTAGTGTCAAAACCTAGCATTCTGTAAGTCATGGAGGCAAAATAGGACTTCAGAGACAGAGTGAAGGAAAGAAGGCATTTGATGAAGATTGTGAAAAATGAATAATTTTTTGAGAGGAAGCCTTGCTTGTTAGGAGAAAGTACTTCAGTGAGAATCTAATAGAAGCTAGTAAACCTTAATTTTACATTCTGGTCACTTTATCATGTAATATAGTCTTAGAAATTATGGGGGAATTAAAAGTGGCATTAAGAGCCTTGTTCTTTACTGCGGGACTGTTTAGCTGTTTGCTTTAGTTCTGTGTAGGAAATCACCAGGGCTGAGTCTTGTAATAGCATCTCATAATTAGAGAAGTACATTTGTGGTCATGTTTACTCCACTTGCTCCTTTTCAATTTCAGGTCTGCAAGTGTGCCTTCAGGTTCTGGCACTGCCACTGGCAGTAATCGAAGACTACAGCAGACACAAAATCAAGTGGATGAGGTATTATTGCCCCCCTTCTTCTAGTACTGGGGTTTGAACTTAGGGACTCAAACTAAGCTTGGCAGGACTACTACCACTTCAGCCATGCTCCAGGTAATTCAAATAGGATCTGATGGGGTTTTTTGCCTGAGCCAGCCTGACCTGTGATCCTTCTGTTTACCACCTACCCCTCCCACCCCCCATGTAAGTAGGATAAAAAGCACATACCACTGTGACCAACATTTTTGTTGAGATGAAAGTTCCCTACATTTTGTCCAATCTGAACCATGATCTTTATGATCTCTGCTTCCTGAGTAGCTAGGTGTACAGGAGTTAGCCACTGCACCCAGCTCTAAAATTCTACAACACGAAGCAGGAAAGTCAGATTTCCTGGTTTCATCCTCATTTTTTCCCAAATCATATATCTAAAGTATAGAGACTTTTTTCTAGTAATACTCCCCAAGAAGCACTTTATAAAGTAGGGTAATAAAAATTAAAGGATTAGGCCTACAGATTGCTCCAGTGAGGAACAAGGCCTTCTGATCAGGTAACTTTTTCAAAATACTGTGTCATATAGCCTGCTTTACTCGCTGCCTGGCCTGACAGGCTCTCGAGTTCCTCTCTGGTGGTTGCCATGGACACACAGGAGGCAGATGCTGACAAATCGAGATAGCCTGACAAAGCTGTATTTGTAAGGTTTTTGAGCTAGAGGACCTTCACAGCCCTTTTTATTCTACCCTGAATAAGCTGAACTATGCCTAAGACTGAGAAATTCAGACTGGTATTTCTATGTTCCTAAAAACAGTCACTGTCCGAGATTCTTTGGTCTTTCTGCTTATAGCTGCCCTAAAGAATAGAGTTGAGGCTGTTAAATCATGTTTTCATTGGATGGGTCATTAACTTAATTCTGAAACTTTTGCATCTTCATAATGAAACTCATTCTAATTCTGTCCCTTAAAATCAAATTGCAATTGGGTCCTTTTTGTTGGGGGTCAGGTGTACTGGTCCTGGGACTTGAATTCAGGGCCTGGGTGTCCTAAGCTGCTAGAACCACTTGAGCCACAGCTCCATTTCTGACTTTTTAAAAAATAGTTTATTGGAGATAAGAATCTCACAGACTTAGCTTGGGCTGGCTTCAAATAACAATCCTCAAGATTTCAGCTTCTTGAGTAGCTAGGATGAGAGGAGTGAACCACTGCCGCCCAGTGGGTCTTTTGTTGTTGTTGCTTTTTTTTTTGGGGGGGGGGGGGTCCGGTTGTGGGGCCTGAACTCTGGGCCTGGGCGCTGTCCCTCAGCTCTTCAGCTCAAGGCTAGCACTCTACCCCTTGAGCCACAGCACCACTTCCGGCTTTTTTCTTTTTGCTTATGTGGTGCTGAGGAATCGAACCCAGAGCCTCATGCATGCAAGGCAAGCGCTCTACCACTGAGCCACCTTCCCAGCCCTGTTGTTACTTTTTCTTTTATTGAGGTGAAATTCACGTAACATAAAGTGACACCATTTGAAAGCGTACAGCTTAGTGTGTTGATGTATTTCAGTGTACTTAGCATTTGTGCAACTTTACCTCTTTCTACTTTCAGAACTCTTTTCATCCCACTGAGAAGTACCCTGTACTCACTCAGAAATCACTCCTTCGGGCAGTGCCTTCCTAGTAACCTGTAATCTGCCTCTTTCTCTGCATTTGCTTATTCTGGGTATACCATAAAAAAAGAGTTGCCCAACATGACCTTTTTGTGTTGGGTTTCATTCACTCAGCATAATGCTTTCAATATTCCTCCAAGCTGTGGCACAAATCTGGACCTCTTTGGTTCTTGTAGCTGAGTCATAGTCCATAGTACATGTGGGCCACAGTGGTGAGCCACGTATCAGTTAGTAGATATTCAAGCTGCTATGAATAATGCTGCTCAAAAAGCAGCCCAAGACCCCTGTAGCTGGGTCATACTGATGCCATCGTGAGGCACCTGTTTCTCCACATCCACATCAGTATTTGGATGATGGCCATCCTAGTGAACAGGAAGTGGTAGCTCATTGTGGATTTAAATTGCATTGGTGAATGATTAGTGATATTGAATGTATTTCATGCGCTCATTGGCCATTTGCATATCTGAAATAAAAAGAAACTATTCTCGTCCTTTGCCTTTTTACTCAGTACTGAGGTTTGGACTCAGGGCTTTGCACTTACCAAGCGGGAGCTCTACCACTTGAGCTATACCTCCAGCCATTTTTGCTTTTGTTATTTTTTAAAATAGAGTCTAGCTTTTTGCCTTTGCTACATTGGACCTTGTTCCCCCTATTTATGCTTCCTATAGTTGGGATGACAGTCATATGCCATCATGCCCAACCATTTATTATATGAGATGGAGTTTGATGTATGTTTTACCCAGGAAAGCTGGTCTTGAACAATGATCTCCTAATCTCAGCCTCCAGAATGGTTAGGATTATGGTGGGAGCCACCTTGCTCACCCCTTTGACTGCTTTTATTGTTATTGTTTGGCAGTTCTGGGGTTTGAACTGAGGGCCTTGTGCTGGGTAGGCAAGCTCTGCCACTTGAATCATGCCTCCAGCCCTTTTTTTGCTCAGAAATAGGATCTTTTTATTGAAAAGCTGAGAGCTCAAAGCCCTAGGTTCAAGACTCAGTACCAGCACAAAAATAAAAGAGAGAGAAAATAGATAAATTAGGCTGCATAAAAATTAGAAACTTTGTATCGCATCAAAGTGTATTATGACCAACATAGAAGTTATCCACAGAATGGGAGAAGATATCCATAAATGACATCTGATAAAATCTTAATATCCAGAATACATAAAGAACTCTTAGAAGTTAACCAAAAAAAAAAAAAAAAGACAACCTCATTAAAAACCTGGCAGAGGGCCAGGTAGGGTGGTGGCTCACAACTGTAATACCAGAGATTAAGAGTGCCATAGCTGGAGCATAAGCAAAAATTTAGTGAGACCCCCTTGTCCCCATCTCAATCAATCAATCAATAAGCCAGGCCTAGTGGTGTGTGTCAGCCATCCCAGCTAAGCAGGAAGTGGCAGGTAGAAGGATTTTGGCCTAAGGCAGGACTTGGATAGCCCACCGGAAAGGGTACCTCCCCCACCCCCTTTGTTAGGGAAAGCTTGGCTTGAAGTAGTAAAGTGCCAACTGGAAAAAAAAAATAGGTTTCCTTGGGAATATTGGTTCTTCCCTTCCTGACTTGTCATTTACTGTGGTCGGCCTGTTTAGGTGGTGGACATCATGAGGGTCAATGTGGATAAGGTGCTAGAGAGAGACCAGAAGCTCTCTGAGCTAGACGACCGTGCAGACGCCCTGCAGGCTGGAGCTTCTCAATTCGAAACAAGTGCTGCCAAGTTGAAGAGGAAGTACTGGTGGAAGAATTGCAAGGTGATTCTCCTGTGGCTGCCTGCACCCTGGGCCCCTGCTCCCAGAGGGGCAGTGGAGGTTCCACATACTGGGCGTTTCATGAATCTAGGAGTGGTTCAGCTTCCTGCATGGGGACACTTGGGCCGGCACTGAGGGCGCCCCACTTTCTGGCCCACCACTAAGAATCCCCATGTTTTGATCACAAGTGGCATGTACAGCAGGAATATCTCAGACTGCTGCCCCTTCTCAACCCAGACCTCAGCAGTGCCCTGAACAGATGGATAGGAAGACTGCCATTGATGCTGTTGCAGGCAGTCCTGGGAACAGCTCACAGTTAAGGAAAGCACATGCTAGAAAGTTCCATTGGGCCCAACAGAAAAGACACCAGCTGCAGACAGCCTGGCCCCAGTGGATTCTGTAGTTAGACAGTCAGTGTTTCGGGTTCAGATTCCAGTTAGCCTGCCTTCACAAATAAACTCTGAGACACATGGGACCAGCTCAGCAGCCCTCCTGGTGTGGGAAGCGAGTACACATGCAAGCTCCTCTCCAGGGCCTCAGATCACTGGGACACACCTAGGAAACCCCTAAAAGCCTTTAGGCCTTGATAGAATTTATTCCAGTAGGTAGTGCACCTCGGTTTCTCCTGAGGTAACTAGAATAGTAGGTGCCCTTTAGTAAGACATCTGTCTCACACGGCGGCTCTCGTTCTATTTCAGATGTGGGCGATAGGGATTGGCGTCCTGGTGATCATCATCATCATCATCATTGGTGAGTCACTGTGTGTGCATAGATGAGCATGTGTGCAAGAACCAAGTATGAAAGTTCTACCACAAAGGGGAAGGGGGGTTACTTTTTTATTTTGGTCAGTTAAGGGACTTGAACTCAGGGCCTGAACCCTGTCCCTGAGCTTTTTTGCTCAAGGCTAGCATAGCACTCCACCACTCCACTCTACCAGCTCCACTTCTGGCTTTCTGGTAGTTAATTGGAGATATGAGTCTCTTGGACTTTCTGCCCAGCCTGGCTTTAAACCACGATCCTCAGATCTCAGCCTCCTGAGTAGCTAAGATTACAGGCGTGAGCCACTGGTACCCAGTTCCCTGTTCTTGTTTGGCAACTGTTTTACAAACTTGATGGGTTTTATTTATTTCTTGGAGAGGACAGGGCTGATGCCGAGACAGGCTCTTGTTATAAAGCCTAGGTGATACACAAACTCACTATCCTCCCACCTCTACCTCCTGTGCTGGGATTACAAGTGTGTACCACCACACCCAACTAGAATACTTGAGTGTTGTATTATCAATGTCTAACATGTTTATATGAACATAAATCTTTGAGATGATGGAATTTCATATGTGGTAACTAGCCAATTTTCCTCTCTGAATATTTTTCCGTTTGAACTCTGGCCTTTGCACTCTCAATTGGCTTGCCAGCTCTCAGCTGACACACTACCAGTTGACTCACACCTCCAGCCTTGTTTTTTGTTGTTGTTGTTGTTCTGTTTTGTTTTTACTGATTAATTGGAGATGGGTTGACTTGAACTTGTCAGGCTGGCTTTAAGCCATGATCCTATAGATCTCTGCTTCCCGAGTAGCTAGGATTATAATCTGGCTGGCCTGAGCCAGCTCTGAATGATTTCGTTGTTTTTGTTAATATTTTTATTTAATGACTTTGTTGTTGTTATTGTTGTTGTTATGTGGTATTTTTGGAATTGAACCCAGGGCCTCATTCATGCTTGGCAAACACTCTATCACTAAGCCACAATCCCATTCCCTCTGTTTTTAATATCTCTTATTCGTGTGTGTGTGTGTGTGTGTGTGTGTGTGTGTGTGTGTGTGTGTACTGAGGATTAAATTCAGGATCTCAAGCTTGCCAGGCAGAGGTGCTCTACCACTTGAGCCAGGCCCTCAGCACTTTTTTGGGGGGGGATCCAGTCATGGAGCCTGAACTCTGGGCCTGGGCGCTGTCCCTCAGCTCTTCAGCTCAAGGCTAGCGCTCTACCACTTGAGCCACAGCGCCACTTCCGGCTTTTTGGTTTTGCTTATGTGGTGCTGGGGAATTGAACCCAGGGCCTCATGCATGCAAGGCAAGCGCTGTACCACTGAGCCACCTCCCCAGCCCCTTCCCTCAGCACTTTCTTGCTATATTTTTCAGATAGGGTCTTGTGATTTTTTTTTTTTTTTTTTTTTTTTGCCCAGGGCTGGCACACACCTTGATTTTCCTACCCACATCCTTCTGTGTAGCCTGGATTACAGGTGTGATGTAGACAATGGTATTCTCTCTTTGCTAGGTTGTTAGAAGGGGTCTCTTAGTGGAATGTATGGTTACTGCAGCCTTGCTTCAAACTGTAGTCTCCTCCAGAACCTTTTGTCATGAGATTGGCTGTAGTCTCCCCCAGCCCTGTCTATCATGAGATTGGCTATAGTCTCCTCCAGCCCATTTGTCATGAGATTGGCTGTAGCCTCCTCCAGCCCCTTCTGTCATGCGATTGGCCATACGTAGTCTCCTCAAGACCTGTCTGTCACAAGATTGACTGTAATCTTCTCTAGCTGTGTTCTGTCATGAGAATGGTTGTATTCTCCTCCAGTCCCATCTGTTATTAGATTGGCTGTAGTCTCCCCTAGCCCTGTCTGTCATTAGATTGGCTGTACTCTCCTCCAGCCCCAGCTGTCATTAGATTGGTTGTATTCTCCTCCAGCCCTGTCTGTCAAAAGACAAGTCAGGAGTAGGAAGCCAGCCCAGTGGGAGTCCATTCACTTGTAGACCACCGCACAGCACGTGTTGTCACTGTATTTGTATTCAAAGACTAAAGTACCTTTTTCCCTGTTTTTAAATCTCCCCTGCCCTGTAGTGTGGTCTGTCTCTTAATGAAGAGCCGGTGAAACTCAAGCCTGCTGTTGGGAATCCTCTTGAAGACTTTCGACTTAGAACTTGCTCTATTATCAAGCTTACCTACTGTTATTTGTAAAATGATTATTTTTGTTAGTTCACATACAGTTCAGTTTGTAGGAAATGTGCCTTTTTTGGAATATGCACTCCAAACTTGAGGTGTGGCCAGCCCTGCCACATTTTGCACAGTGCCTTTTTGCAGATTCACATGAGGCTGGAGAGGAGTTCTTAAGCCCTGCAGCGTTGTAACCAGACATAATGTCACAAAGTACCTGCATTGCTTCCAGATATGGGAATGGTTCCAAGTTAGCTATCATGGATTGTACCTTCAGAACCACCTTTTAAACCTCACATAACCAGACTTCTATCTGTGCCTTCCAGAAAGAACACTACCATCTATTGCAAACCTGTGACAGTCACAGGCTGTGCCTTATTTTTGATACATTGCTGGTTCCCTAGGCTAGCCCTTTCTTTTTTGTAAGCACTACTGACTCACTGTGTTTCAACCCATGTGCTGGTAAAGAGATAAGCTTTTAGATAGGAAGATGTTTTTCTTCTTTCATATCATTTGCTAAGATCTTACTTTAAGCAGAAAAAAACCTTTTTGAAAAGTTTTTATAGAACTCTATGACCAAAGCTTCTCTTTTGCCAAAAAGCTGAATATAAATAACATATCCTCAGCTCTGTCCCAGACAGATGAATTTAGCAAAGTGCCAAATAGAACTTAAGGTGCCTTTCAGAAGGACAATGTTAATACTTGTACATCTCAGCCTTCCATGCCTGTGAGATGCTGTAGAGAAGGCGGCCTTCCTTCCTGACATGGCTTTTCCCACAGGGGTTAGAAATTCGAGCCTCTTGCCATCTTGTGCTGTGTACTCCAGTGTGCTTTTTAACAATTATGTGACATCAGTTCTGAAGCCCTCAAGTAAGTCCATCTGTGAACTCGATCGTTTCTTGGCCCAGTCTTCAAAGACCAGAGCTTTTGAAATTTGCTTCCTATTTTTACTCACATTCTACTTCCTAAATCAGTCTTCTAATTATGCTTGGGGTAAGGCTTTGGCCACCACGTGCGACTAAACAGTGGACAGCTAACCAGAGACGCTCGCTTTATTCAGTGTCCTACGCTGCACAGGCTGCTGCTTTGGGAGTAGCTGTTGCCATCCGAAAGATGTTTAACATCAGGGTGTGGGCTTAAAGGAAGCAGAGGGAGGAGAAACGCTGCACCTGCTCTATGGTCCTTTCTGTTAGAATACTCTAAAGTTCTGGCTCACACACAAAACCACCACAGCCCAGGAGGCCAGAACACAGTTCTGCTTCTTTAGTACTGCTCCCTAATCTCATTGAAATGACTGGATTTTGTCATGTCTTGCAGTATACCCACTGTGAGAAAGCAGCTGTCAGGGTCAGACCCTCAGTACTCCCAGCCCAGGGGCTCAGGCTGGCCTGACTGAGACCTCCATGCTCTCCCCATGGCCCTGACACCCAGTCCCTAGAACCCACAGGCTCCTGTGTTTACATAATACCTGGCTGTGTCTGTGCATTTAGCTGGGAACCTTCCCAGTGTCATGACCTGAATAAAGCGTTTATAAACAGGAATCTGGCTCCTGTGTTCTTTGTAGTGGGACATATACACAGATATATCTGGTCCACAGCATAAAAAATGGTGTCCCTTGCTCCCCACCTGCATGAATCTCACTTTCTCCTCTCCTTGCACACCATCCCTTCCCAGGTTGGTGTTTTCTACGGCCCCATGTTTAAAGCATGGAGATGAGTGGGGAGCTGTCCCAACTTTGGTCACAAAGTTACCAAAATGTTTGGGATTTGGCTTTCGTGGTGTTTGGGGAGCAACACACACAATTAGACTGCATAGTCAGAGGCACAACTAGATTGCAGTCAGTCGATGATGCTGTATGGGGAGTCTGGGGGGGCTTCTCCAGACAAGCTGCTGTTTTCATCTTTGATGTCTTCCTTCCCTTAAAACACTTCCTCTCTCCCTGTGACCCCTGCTTATGTTTACAATACTTAAAAAACAGAAGGTACTTCCTCAAGTGCTGCAGACCACCATTGAGATTCTCACCTCATCTTGGGGGATGGGGAGGGGAGGAGACTCCCGGGGAAGCTGGCTCAGGGGAAAGCTCAGGACTTCAAGGTGTCCTGCCCCCTTAGGGCAAGTCAAGGTGCTGTTGGGCCCACTCCCTGCCCCCAGCACAGGCCCCTCAGCCACTTTTGAATTCTGCCTTGTCTGAGGCCCTGGGTGAGAGCCAGCTGGCTTCCTTCCCTCTCCCTCCTACCTTCCAATCCGTGAGCCACACTTTACTTTCTCTCCATCTCTAACTTAGCCTTTCTGAACTCACTTTAGGAGACATTCGTGTTTTGTCTTTTTCACACTGTAGACTGGCAGAGTCACAGGGACTTTGTTCCATCATCCTATCCCTTAGAATTACAGCCATCCCTGCTCAGGTGTGTGCCTGGTGTTTGCTAAATGGAAGCAGTTTGGACAAACAACAGAAAGCAGGAAAAACACTTAGAGCTTTCCCTACTCTGTGGCCCATTGTTACTGGGAGGTGTGAGATCCAGGGTGGGGTGCCATTTGGAAAATTAGGCCGTTTATCCAGTACACAACTGATCACTGCATTCTTCCCCTCTCCCTTTATATAGGACTAACTTTCATTGGACAAATAACACCATCTTTGTATACTAGGTAGCAGAAGAGGTGCTGTTCCGCCCTGTACCTCTAGTTTCTCAGAGGGGGCTCTGCATTGGCCTTTCCTGAAGCAGGTCGTGGGGCCTGAACTCAAGGCTACTCTACCACTTAAGCCACAGGACCACTTCCGGTGTTTTTTTTTCCTGCTTATGTGGTGCTAGGAATCGAACCCAGGGCCTCGTGCTTGCAAGGCAAGCGCTCTACCACTGAGCCACCTTCTCAGCCCCTGAAACAGGTCTTTTACAGACACTTCCCTTCCACCATTAGCCAAAAAATCCGAAACTTCAGGTAGGAATGAGGCGTGAACATGGGCCTGCATTTTACCGGGGTTGCTTTGGGCGCGCCTCCTCCAAGGCCACCTCACTCCCCACTTGTTGAGGAGAGAACAAGGTTAGGAGAGATGCACTCAGGAAGACCGGAAGCTATGCAAAGGTCCCTGCTCCCCAGGGGCAGACAGAGCCCCCTGGAGAGCACGAGGCCACCCTGGGGGAAGGGGCGGGGCCTCTGCTCACGTGGCTGCTCACGCCTCTCAGGCCCGCCTCCACGTGACTGGCAGCTCCTGTGTCCTATCACGGCTACTCCGGCTGCACGGCCCCGCCTCTTGGAGGTGGCGCCGGGGACTCGCACGGTCCAGGCCCGGGTGTCCTGGGGGCCACTCCGCCCCCTGCCCACGCGCTGCCAGCCAGGATTGGGCGGGCGCCGCCCCCTGCCGGACTCCCGCGTTATGTAACTCGCTCTGGGGCCTCGTCGTCTGCGATTATGTAACCCTGGCGCCCCGGCTCGGGGCCCGCCCTCTGGCCAATGGGAGCCCGCTGCTGGTCGCGGCGGCCAATCGCGCGGTTCCGGGGCGGAGCCGGGTCCCGTGGCGCTCGGGGGGCGCGGGCCCGAGGACGCCCGGCACGCGGCGGGCCTCGAGACCCGGCGGCGCCGCCCGCGGGCGGGCGAGGGCGGCCGCCAGGGCTGGGCGAGCGCTCGCGCGGGGTGCAGCCTGCAGGCCGGGCGGTCCTCCGGCGACCCCGGAACGCGGCGCCGCAGAGCCGCCCTCGGCGGGCCCGTGGGTCGAGGCGCCGACTTTGCGGAGCTGACGGCGGTAAAGTTGGGTCGCCGCCGCCCCCTCCCTCCAGGCCGGGACCTCGGACGCCGCCAGCGGAAGGGCCCTCGGGGGAGCGGCCGGTGGCCGAGCCCGCCCGCCCGCCATGGCCGCGACGCCGGGGACGCCGGCTGCCAAGTGAGGCGCAGGACCGAGGGCAGCATGGACCCCCGGCGCGAGCCCGGCGCGCCGCGGCCCGGCCCGGGGCAGGGCGAGCACCCGCGGCGAGGCCCCGGCGCGGACGGCAGCCACAGGTGACACCCCGAGCCGGCGCCGCGCCCCCAAAACCGGGAGGGGGAGCGGCCCCGGGCCCCTGCCGCCCCGCGCGGCAGCCTGGCGTCACCGGCAGGGCCCGGGCCCCGGCGTGGCAGGACGGGCCCGGGGCCCCGGGGCAAGAATGGAAGGCAGTGGGGAAACGCACCCAGGCTACCTGGGAGAGGAAGGGAATAAACCTGTGACCCCTCACCACCCCTGCGCTCCGAGACGGGCCCTTGCACGGGGGTAATAGCATTTTTCTTCATCTTCCAGTGAGCAAGAAGATCGAAACAAGGTTTCTGGAGAACTCATAACAGTTGTCCAAGAGATGAAAAAGTACTTGCCAGCGGAGAGACGTAATAAACCCAGCACCCTCGATGCCCTCAACTACGCCCTGCGCTGCGTCCACAGTGTACAAGGTAAAGGTAGTGCAGAGACTAGGTGACCTTCAAAAACAGCCTGCTGCTCGGCCTCGGTGGGGCTCTTGGTAGAAAACAAGCAACTCGAACACTGATGATGTCATTAGTGCCTTCATTTTTCAAAGTTGAAAGACTTGGGGAACATGATTGGTCCCTTAGTTTAGTACCTTTGCAATGGTTTTGCTGATCTGTGGCCAGAGCTAGAGCTTAGCATAAGCACATTCATTCTCAGTTCAGTGCCAGTGGCTCACGCCTATCATCCTAGCTACTCAATAGGCTGAGATTTGAGGATTACAGTTCAAAGCCAAACTAGAAGCTAGGTGCTGCAGGTGGCTCACACCTGTATTCCTAGTGACTCAGTAGGCTGATATTTGAGGACCACAGTTCAAAGCCAGCCTCCACTGAAAAGTCCTTGTGAGACTCTTATCTCCAATTGACTGCCATAAAACCAGAAGTGATGCTGTGGCTCAAACTGGTAGACACTAGCCTTGAGCAATAAAGCTGGGGGATGGCGCCCAGGCCCTGAGTTCAAGCCCTGCAGCAAACAATGAAACACAGAGAGAGAGAGAGAGACAGGAAAGAGCTAGAAGTGGAACTATGGCTCAAGTGGTAGAGTACGAACCTTGAGCAAAAAAGCTAAGCAAGAGCACCTAGTTCCAAGTTCAAGCCCCAGTACACACATACCACACAGAAACATTATTTAGGGCTGGAGATGTAGCTTAATGATAGGCGCTTGCCTAGCATGTGTAAGGTACTAGAGTGGATAGATCCACAGTACTTGTCAAAAAGAAAGAGGGAGAGAGAAGGGAAGGGTTGTCTCCTATAAAGATTACAGAAGAAAATAAGTTTGACTCATTTTATCTTCCCCTGTCATATGCTTATTTTGATGATCTATCATGAATTTACCAAATTAAAGATGAGCCTTGCACCAGTGTCTAATACCTATCATCTCTAGACACTCAGGCTGAGATACAAGAATCAGAGTTCAAAGCTAGCTAGGCAGAAAATTCCTGGAGGCTCTTGTGTTCAGTTAACAAAATGCTGGACTGGAAGCTTTGTTCAAGTGGTAGAGTGCCAGTTGTGTGGAGAGAGAGGAGGAAAGGCCCTGAGTTCAAGTTCCAGTACCAGCATACACACACAAGAAAAGATAAACAGTTTTAAATACTTATGCCTTTTTCTCTGACTTTTTTCATAAAAAAGTCATAGCACAAACATAAGTGCATAGTTTCTGAAAGTCTGTGTTTCCACAGTAAATGACGTATCAGATGTATGTATCTGAACATTTGGTTTCGTTAACTTTTTTGTTTTTGTCTGTCCTGGGGCTTGAACTCAGGGCCTGGGCACTGTCCTTGAGCTCTTTTCCTCAAGGTTAGCACTGTACCATTTGGAGCCACAGCTCCACTTGCAATTTTCTGATAGTTAATTGGACTTTTCAGCCCAGGCTGGCTTTGAACTGCAATCCTCAGCCTTTTGAGTAGTTGGAATTACAGGCCTGAGCCATGAGTATGCCCTGCTTCATTAACTTGTTTTAGTTTAATTCAGTACGTCTTGCTCCCTGTGAGCTAGAGCATTCAGAATTCATAAAGTTCACAATCCTGGGTTTTGCAGCTGTCAGTATTTTATATGCTAGCAGGAAATGATCTGGTTTTGAGGGAAGCACACTTATGGTATCTATGTCCTAAGAAAATAAGCCAGCTTAATAGTGCTAAGTGTAAGTGTTATGATTTTGTTGTCACTAGACTACCTGTTTATTTCCCTGTGTTTCTTAGCAAACAGTGAATTTTTCCAGATTCTCAGTCCATATGGAGCAGCCCGGGCAGACATGACTGCGTACAGTCTGGAGGAGCTGGCCACTGTGGTTTCCCAGCACACTTTCAAGAACACAGTAAGAGCTCAGGCCTTTTGCCCTCTCCACTCAGGTGACCTTTCCAGATGACCACCCCTAATTGCCAATTAAAAAGAATCACCTGGGATTGGAGGCGTGGCTCCGTTGCTGGATCCCTAGCCAGTGAGCAAAAGCATCAAGAACCAAGTTCAAGTCTTGGTCTTGGACCTAAAAAAAAAAACACTGAAAGTTTGGCTAACCAACAATTGGAAGTGAACTAAGGAGAAACTTGCTAAAAAAGACACTTAGCTGTTTCTCCTGCCCTTGATAAAGAAAATGTTTTAAGAAACAGAAGCAGCAGGTTGTATGCTGTGTCACGGTTTCATTTGCTTTGGTTGTTAGTTGCTTCTGTCTTAGCATCCTTTACCTCTCTCAAATGAAGAAAAGCTCTGCAGAGTAATTTCCTGCATCTTATCTAATCTCCAAATTGTTGATTTCTATTTATATCATTCTTAGTTCCAATACCTACTACAAGTTGTAACAACTGGATTTTGTAGAACAGGTGAGTTGAGATGTTGTAAATTTTTTTTGTGAAAATGTAGAAGAGCCCTTTAGTGTATCTTTTTTAAATGTCCTCTTGATGATAATTAAGCCTCATTGATCCACTGGAGCTCACTTAACTTGATGTTTAGACCCCTAGCATCATTATAACAATGACTTTATGATGTTGCAATATGACCTATACATTGTTATAATGGAGCTTATTTTACTAACTACTATGTACTCAGAGTATAGTAGTAAGAGCTATGGAGATTAAAAAGATTAAAAAAATTGCTCTCTAAAATCTTTATGATAAGCTGGGTACCAGCGGCTCATACCTGTAAAGAGGCTGAGATCTGAGGATCTGGGTTTGAAGCCAGCCTGGGCAGAAAAGTCCCCATGAGCCTTAACTCCAGTTAACTATTCAAAAACTGGAAGTGGTTCTGTGGCTCAAATGATAGGGTAGAGCAAGAGCCTTCAGCACAAAGAAGCTCAGGGACAATGCCCAGGCCCTGAATTCAAATCTTACAACTGTCAAAAAAATAAAATTTATGATAAAGCTAGAGAGGAACTCATAGCAATGCTAGCAAACATGGCATTTACACATCTTAACAAACTAGGAACAAGTCAGAGTGCAGTTCGTATGTATTGATGTCTCTCTCCAGGATGATCTTGAACTTGGTTTTAAAGCACAGACTATATTGCTCAGAAGTCAGTCCCTCTGGGAGTAAAGCCCAGTTTGTAAAGGAGAAAATCAGAAATCTGTGCCATGAGTGTGTTTGGTTAGTGTAGGAGGAGTTAGTGGTTTTGGGAAAGAAGTGAGGCCTACAGAAGTTACAGTGAAGGTTCTGTGATCATTTAAAAGAAGCAAATATAGAAAACTAGGGAGGTGTGTTGTCTCTGTAGGACACATGTTGCATGCTAGGCTGTTGATTATGGTAGAAATTAGAAGAAATTTACTTTCCAGGCAACATTGCATCTCAGAGTTTGCCTTCATTCTCTGTGCTTTCACAGGATTCCTTTGCGGCAGTATTTTCATTTCTCTCTGGAAGGCTGGTGCACATTTCTGAACAGGCAGCTTTGATTCTGAACTGTAAGAAAGATTTCCTGGAATCCTCTCACTTTGTTGACCTGCTCGCTCCACAAGACGTGAAGGTGTTCTACACGCACACAGCTCGAGCTCAGCTTCCTGTCTGGAACAGCTGGACCCGAGGAGGTATGGGGCCAGGGGCCAGGGACCAGGGTTTGATGACCACTGCCCCCAACTCAGACCTGATCTTACAGAAGGCGTGCAGAGCGTAATGCATTGTTCAGAACATGAAAACTATATGGTGCCAGGATGCAACCAGAAACAGTACAGACAGAGCATGTGGCTTGCCAGCTCCTTCATGTTTTCCTTGAGCAGCCCCCGTGTGTTCTCAGCCATGGCACACTCAGCCCTTTCATCTTGCTGGTGATGCTCGCTGTGGTATAAAAACTTAATGTATTCTGAAATGATAATGGTGTGACATGTGTCTAGTTGCCACGTAATGTCTTTTTGCCATATAAATCTCAAGAATTCTGGCTCTGACCAAGAGCAGTTTGTAATCCTCACACCCACTGTAAGGTTGCACTCATGTTCTGATTTTCAGTCTTTTCCTTTGAGCTTAGAGGAATGAGGGTACAGGAATCTATACACTCAGCTATCATTGGCCTTTAGATACTATGTTAGAACATGTCTTTACACAGTGATGGTTAAATGAGCCTCTCAGACGGCTCTGATGCTGTTTCTTCAGCACCCATTTTCAGAAACAAGAATTCACTTATTATCTGGGTGTTGAATGCCTCATGAGCTCGTGGACACTGAGGTCACATAGTCTCCTCGCAGTACTGCTGGGGCTAGCAGTGAATGCAGTTAGAGTTCAGGGCCTATGCCACAGAGAAGCAGTGTGAGCATATTTATTACAGGACAGGGTCTTTTCTGATTGTTCCTATAATCCTTTCCTTAGAATCGCACAAGACCTGGCCTCCTTCGCTATTTTAGTTCTGTAGGAATCTTATGGTTTATGAAGCCTACAGGGCATATTTTTTAAACTGCTCCATTTTTCATGGGTCTTTTTACCTAGGACTTTTTGCTTCAGTACACAAATGCCCCAAAATATCAGAAAGATCTCCTAGAAGACATACAAATAAGCTGGACACTGGTGGACTCACGCCTGTAATCCTAGTTACTAAGAAGGCTGAGATCTGAGGATCACAGTTCAAAGCCAGCCCGGGCAGGAAAGTCTGTGAGACCCTTCTAAACCACCAGAAAATCAGAAGTGGCTCAAGTGGTAGAGTGCTTGCCTTGAGCTGAAGAGCTTAGGGATAGCGTCTAGGCCCAGAGTTCAAGCTCCACAACCAACCAAAAAAAAAAAGGTGGGGAGGGGGGCTGGGAAGGTGGGGAGGGGGTAGACTTGCTTTGCATGCATGAGGCCCTGGGTTCGAGTCCTCAGCACCACATAAGCAAAAAGTAAAACTGGAAGTGGCTCTGTGGCTCAAGTGGTAGAGCACTAGCCTTGAGCTGAAGAGCTGAGGGATAGTGCCCAGGCCCAGAGTTCAGGCCCCATGACTGGATCCCCCCCAAAAAAGAAGAAGAAGAAGAAATAATCAGCAAATACTTGTGTGAAAAGGTTCAGCTTCCTCACTTGACCCTAAAGTAGGCAAATTTATTTCTAAATTGCCACCTTATAAATCAGTGACTTTAGTGCAGACTGTTCGCCTGAGCATAAGAAAACATAAGTAACACTGTAAGGTAGTACAGTTTTCTGGAAATTAGCAATAATGATGAGAGGCAAAATGATTATTCCAGTTGAGCTAGAACACAACACATTGAATGTTTCTGAAGAGCCAGGCACCAGTGGTTCATGCCTATAATCCTAGCTCCTCAGGAGGCTGGGAAACCAGCCTAGGTAGAGAATTCCAAGACTCCACCTCCAAAACCGTTAGCAATAAGCAGGGAGGTATGCTAGAGATATAGCTCAAAAGGTAGAGTACTAGCTAAGCAATTGTGAGGCCCTGAGTTCCAGCTGTGTCGCTAGCACACACACACATACAAAAAAAAAAATCCTAAGTGAAAAACTCAAATTTATATATCGTAGAGCTAAAAGTGGAAAATAGTTTAAATTTCCAATTACTGAGAAATGTCCACACTATTTCAGTGAAATAGACTATTAACTGGCAAAATAATTGTCATCAAAGGATCATTATGGTAACATTTAAAGTAATGAATGTAGCGAAAATAAGGATAAGACTATTAGAAGTAATGAAGAAGTAAAAGGCAGATGCTCTGTGTTGCCTAAGGGTTGCTGGAGACTAGCAAAGCCTACTAAAGAGTGCACTTTCAATCAAGAGCAGCTGTCTTTAAGGAAAATGGTTTGTTAATTTGGTGTTAGAGCGAGCTTGAGTCCCTGAGCAGAGCTGCCGTAGGCAGGGAGAGTGACAGCCGTTCTCTATTTCAGCATCCCAGTATGAATATGCCCCGGTGAAACCCTTCTTCTGCAGGATCCGGTGAGTACACACCTGTGGGGACCAAAAATGGCGGCTACACTCTGGTCTCATTCAACACTCATGACTTGTATTAAGCTAGACTCTGTTGTAGATTTTTAAAAAGTCTTGAAGCCAGCAGCCAGTGGCTCACTCCTGTAATCCTACCTACTCAGGAGGCTGAGATCTGAGGATCATGGGTCAAAGCCAGTCCAGGCAGGAAAGTTTGTGAGACTCTTACCTCCAATAAACCACCAGAAAACTGGAAGTGGCACTGTGGCTCAGGTGGTAGAATGCTCACCTTGAGTTGAAGAGCTGAGGGACAGTGCCCAGGCCCAACGTTTAAGCCCCATGACCCACAAAAAAAGAAAAAAAAACCTTGGTTCTTTTCATGGGAATTTGCCTATGGGGCTTGAACTCTGGGCCTGGGCGCTGTCCTTCAGCTCTTCAGCTCAAGGCAAGCGTTCTACCACTTGAGCCACAGCATCACTTCTGGTTTTCTGGTGGTTTGTTGGAGATGAGCGTCTCATAGACTTTCCTGCCCAGGCTGGCTTTGAACCGCGCTCCTCAGAGCTCAGCTTCCTGAGTAGCTAGGATTACAGGCCTGAGCTACCTGCACCCAGCTTGGTTAGCTTTTTAAAAATTAACTTTCAGTGTTTTCCCCCACTCCGTCACTGTTCAGTTTTTGAATTTTATTTCTTTTAGGCAAGAGGGGAGATTACATCCTTATTTCCAGTAGGAAAATATTACTTATATAAAATTTTGGCCCATTTCCTTCTCCTTTACCTGTTCCGTTCAATTTAAGAAATTTAATTTTACCACATACCTAATATGCATATTTCATATTAAGGTAATAATACCTTTTTCTTTATTTTTAGTTATTTGAATAACTACGTAATTAGGGTCACTCTGTATATTTTTAATTAACCACATGAGTATACAAAGGTATAATTTATAGCATCAGTAACTTCATTATCCTCATTATCTAATCTTTCCTGTGATAGGGCCTTTCTACAATAACCAGAGATTTTAGTTATACTTCCTAACACTCATTTGTAAAAAATCAGGATGTTAAAGATAGGATGAGAACCCCTGAGTAAACCACACTGAGGCCACTTGGAGTGAAGCTGCAAGGAGAGGCCCTTGGACACTATTGCTCCAATTTCTTTATGTAAAGCAGCAACCTAGTAAGCCACTCTTGCTGGAAAATTACTCTTGAAAAATTGTTTGTGGATTTCATTGACAGTATCAAAGTCATTTGGGTCAGCCAGCAAGACAGTTGCTTTTACAATATTAGTGAGGTCACAGGCTGCAGCTTTCAGAATGTCACCCATGTGTGTAAGAGCTTGTTTTATTTCTTCTACTACCTCTCCTGGCACAAGCTGTCTGCTTGAAGGGTCCATGCCTACCTGACCTGAAACGTACATGGTGCAGTCAACGAACACACTTGACTTCGGCCATCAGAGACGGCATGGCTAGGCCTTCTGTCTTGTGGCCAGCCCAGGGGAACACTGCACTAGAGAGACCCACTCTCTCTCTACCTCAGACAGACCAAGCCCTCCCTGTGTCCCTATCTAATTTTTTAAAATTTTAATAGCTTACATTTACTGGAAGGGTTTAACATAGAAAGTGAACTAAAAGACAATACAGTAGTTTCCTGATCTCCCCAGTATGTGGTTCTGAAGAGACCACTCTTGAGTTGATACTGTGTATGCCCAGGATGTGAGAGTTCAGACTGAACCACAATTGTGAGAGGCAACTTTCCCACGATTCCCCCCGCCCCCAACTTCCACTTGAAGCACTATGGCACCTTTTAACAGATTTATCACTTCTATTAAGCACATGCACATCTCTTGGGCTCCATCTGCTTTGTGGGAGGCTGATCCTCATAAAGTGAAAGGCAGGGAAGCGCTTTGAGAGCACACAATGACTTAACACAAGCAGTGGCAAAATAGGCCAGACCAGGTGCTGAACTATGGAATTTGTGCATGGGAACTTTAAAGTTTTATTTGTTTGTTTTGTCGTTGTCTGTCAGTTGTGGAACCTGAACTTTGTCAAAGCCTGGGCGCTGTCCCTGAGCTCTTTTCCTCAAGGCTAGCATTCTACCACTTTGAGTCACAGCACCACTTCCAGTTTTCTTGTTGTTAATTGAAGATAAGAGTCTCACAGACTTTCCTAGCTGGACTGGCTTTGAACTGCAGTCCTCAGATCTCAGCCTCCTGAGTAGCTAGGATTACAAGTGTGAGCCACTAGCTCCAGGCTAAAGTTGTTTTAAAAATATTTTTATATTAAAAAAATTGTTTTACTGTTCTTGGTCAAAAATGCATATAATAAATGCACGAACAAGTAGGCTTACTGTTAACCAAAAATTTAGTTGATTTCATCTTCTAAATTTAATGAGAATATTCTAAATGATAATATTACTTCATAATAAAAAGAGAAAATGTTTTTAAATGACATAATGGTTAATGTTAATATTGAAGTGCTTGTAATGGGTTGGTCCTGCACTCTATGAAATGAGGGAGGGGCTGGAGCTAATAGCCAGCTGAACACTGTTAACAACCCAGCTGTCACTATGAATAACACTCTCTCAGACAAACCACGTTAGTCCCCTCATGAGGATGGTGTCCCCATGACACAAACACCTCTTGAAGGGCCTGCTGCCTTCAGTGAGAGATGGAGACCCAGGCTAGCACAGCCAGGGGCAGGAGAAATATTCTGTGTATTTTACCAGGACTTACTAATGAGTTAGATTGGAGCGTGAAATCAAAAGAGCCACTGCTGACAGCAGGGGTGTGGGCTAGGATTCTTCACTGAGGTGGAAAAGGTAGGAAAAGCAGCTTCCTGGAGAGAGGCAGGAGTAACAGCACTTAGTTGAGACAGGTTCTGTTTGAGATGCAGGTCAAGACCAGGCCAGAGATGCATATTAAGAACATGAGTGTAAATCTTGTATAGAAGCTTGGGACCAGATGAGCCTAGAAATAGGAGGGAGACCAGACAAGTTCCAAGCGGGGCTTGTAGGCAGGCTCAGAAGCTGGTCCTCCCAGTGAGTGAAGCAAAACACGGTCATGGGAGAGGATGGGAGGAAAGCAGAGACTGCGTGTGGACAGCAGCGTCAGCAATCAGACCTCCTTCAGGTTAGTGTTCTCAAACCTGATGGTGATGGAGACATGATTGGCAGGAAAAGAGGAACATTAATTCACTCATGGACATTGGACTTGAAAGGAGATGGTGGCGTGTCCACCATCTGTGTCCTCTGGGCAGTGGGGTAAAAACTTGTATCATCACTCAGCACTAGAGCTCCTCCATGAGAGTTGGGAAGGGGGACGGTGTCAGGGACCAGGCTTGGGAGCTGAGCTTTATCCTTTTTTTTGTCACTCGTGGGACTTGAACTCTGGGCCTGGGCACTGTTCCTACGCTCTTCAGCTCAAGGCAAACACTCTGCCACTTGAGCCATAACGCCACTTCCAGTTTTCTTATGGTTTATTTCGAGATAAGAGTCTCATGGACTTTCCTGCCTGGGCTAGCTTTGAACCCCAATCCTCAGATCTCAGCCTCCTGAGTAGCTGGGATCACAAGTTGGCTGTGACTGTAGGGGAGCTGACTCTGTTGGGGCAGTTCAAGTGAGGTGAGACCGTTAGGCCAGACTGGGAACTTGGGGCATGGAGGTCAGAAGTAAGTCATGGAATAGTTCTCCCTGTTTTACTTTCATGGTAACATGAACACTGTTCCATAGAACCTCTTACTTCCTGACTAGTCAGTGAGACCATTGATATCTGGAGCTAAACTTTTAAATTAACCTTCCCCACCTGTGGAAAACAAGTAGGTTTAAGTGTTTTGTATATGAGTCTATGTGAAACACGCCATTGGGAAATGCCAATCAACCATTTCCCCAGCTTGTTTGCAGCGGGCTAATTGCATTGTGACCAGCCTGATCTTTTTATCTTTTCAGTGGAGGCCGAGACAAGGTGCAAGAGAAGCATTACAGCCCGTTCCGGATCCTCCCCTATCTGGTTCATGTACATAGCTCTGCCCAACCCGAATCAGAACCTTGCTGCCTCACACTGATTGAGAAGACTCACTCTGGTTATGAAGGTGAGGCCAGAAGTCCTGCGTGTAGGGAAGAGACAGAGATATCCTGCAAGAAAATCTCTATAGGGATTTTAGTAAGGTCTCTTTCTCGAGCTTGTCCCCTTCCTCAGGTGTCTCCCTCACAGACAGCAGACCTTGTTGTCTATGCCTAGGGCCAGGGGAAGACCTAGTCCTCTAGTCCTTCCTCCACTGGAGACATGCCCTGGGCCCTTTTTTGCGATCTTAATGAAATAAGTGTACTAAAATTCTTGCAAGAGAAGCCATAGTACAGTTTATATCTTCTGTGACATAAACAGAAGCTACCAGCGTGGTCATTTTCCGTGGAAATACAGCATCTGGAAACTCCAGGTACAGCCATTCCACCTGACTCCATTGTTTTGTATTAGCAAAGAGCATTTATGGAAAGGCATTGCATTGTGGTATTTATGTACATGCATCTAATGTGTTCCAGTCATATTCACCCCTCTGTCACTTGGCCTTTATTCCTTCTCCTTTGTTCATTTTTGAATGGTTTTATTGTTATTCTCACCTATACAATTTGATCGTATCCATCTGTCCTCTTTTGTTCCCCCTTTACTCCTACTGGTTCTCTCCCAGTTTCCCTTTTACAATCATATTATTATTTTAGGTCTAGATTCTGCATATGAGCAAAGATGTGGTATTTCTCTTTCTGAGCTTGGCTTAGCTCAACATGGTGATCCCCAAGTTCCATCCATTTTCCTGCAACAAAAGATATCATTTCATTCTTCTTTTTGGCTGCATGATACTCCATTGGGTATATATGCCACATTTACTTTATCCTAGGTACTTTTGGGTACCTAGGCTGATGCCATAGCTTGGCTATTGTGAACAGCATTGCAATAAATGGGAATATTGGAGGTGTCTCTATTCTATGTCAACTTATATTCATTTAGATAAATGTTCAGGAGTTGTATAGCAGGGTCATAATTTAGTTCTGTCATTAGGTTTCTGAATAATCACTATTGGATTTCCATAATAGCTGCATTGATTTGCATTTATATTACCACCAACACTGTGTGAGGGTTCTTTTTTACACCTCGATCCTGACAGCCTTTGCTGTCATTTATTTTCTTGATGATAGCCATTCAGATTGAAGAGAGAAGGAATCTCTGTCATTTTTTATTACCATTTCTTTTAGGGCTAAGTATATAAAATATTTCTTACGTATTTATTAACCATTGTCCTTTTTTTTGAGAATTGTCTGTTCTAATATTTTGTCCATTTATTAGTTGAATTATTTGTTGTTCATATTTAACTTTTTTAGCTTCTTATATATTCTGGATGTTAACTCTTTGTCCAGAATTTCCCCCAAAATTGTTTCCTTTGATGTACAGAAGTTTTTTTTTTTTTGCTTTGATGCAATCCTATTTGTCAGTTCTCTTACTTCCTAAGCAATTGAAGTCTTATTCAAAAAGCCCTTACCTGCATATATATCTTCAAGTGCAACCTCTATGCTCTCCTGTAGTAGTTTCAAAGTTTTCAGGTCTTAGAATGCAATCTTTGAGGAAGCTAGCTGTAGAAAGATCTTTGATTTTTTTTTTTTTTTTGGTTGGTTGGTCTTGGGCCTGAACTCTGGGCCTGGGCGCTGTCCCTGAATTCTTCAGCTCGAGGTGAGCGCTCTACCATTTGAGCCACAGTGCCACTTCAGGCTTTTTCTGCTTATGTGGTGCTGAAGAATTGAACCCAGGGCTTCATGTATGCAAGGCAAGCACGGTACCACTGAACCACCTTACCGGCCCCCTTTGATTCATTTTTAATTGATTTTTATACAGGATCAGCAGTAGGGATCTAGTTTCAGTCTTTGACATGCATATAACCAGTTTTCTTAAATACCATTGTTGAAGAATCTTGTCTTCAACACATGGTTTTGGTACCATTATTGATCATGGGATAGCTGTAACTGGGGGGGGGGGGGGGGGAATGTTATTTCTAGGTCTTTGATTCTATTGGTCTGTTTTAGTGCCAGTACCATGCTGGTTTTGTTATGGTGGCTCTAGTGTAATTTGAAGTCAGGTTTTGTGATACTTCTAGTGTTACTCTTTTTGCTCAGGATTGATCTAGCTATTCTGTGTCTTTTATGCTTCCAAACTAATTTTAGAATTGATGCTTCTATTCCTATTAAGAATGACATTGGAATTTTGGGTGGGGATTCTATTGAATCTATAGATTGCCTTTGGTAATTGAGGTGTTTTACAATATAAATTCTGATTCATGAACTAGGTTCCCTGTGTTCTTAAAGCACAAGTTAAAGCAGAACTGACTTATACCAATTTTATTATGTATGCAAAGACTGTCTATACAGTACTAAGTAACATTTCAAGATCTTTCGTTTAGTTTTCTACAGCCACTAAACAGGACTAATGTTTGTACTTCCTCCTTTAACTCTTTTTTGTTGTTGTTGTTGTTGTTGTTTTTTGTCAGTCATGGGGCTTGAACTCTGGGCCTGGGCACTGTCCCTGCGCTCTTCAGCTCAAGGCGAGCACTCTACTGCTTAAGCCAAGGCACCACTTCTGGTTTTCTAGTGTTTTTTATTGGAGATAAGAATCTCATGGACTTTCCTGCCCAGGCTGGCTTTGAACTGCGATCCTCAGAACTCAGCCTCCTTGAGTAGCTAGGATTGTAGGCGTGAGCCACCGGCACCTGGCTTCCTTTAACTCTTAAGATTATTTGTGATGAGAAAATGAACTAGAACTAGTCAGTGTGTGTAGACTCTCCTTTGTTTAAAGTTAACTTTACTAGGCATATCATTCTGACCTAATGAAAATTGTCATTTAAGCTTCAGCTCCTTGAAGACCAGACCCCTAAGTGAGGTTTCTACCATTTGATATGTAGATTTTATTCGATTTTATCATGTACAGTGAATGATTAATTAGATACTTGCCTGCCTATAGATAAATCTTTCTGGTTTTTTTCTTTTTTTTGTAGCTCCTCGAATCCCAGTGGGCAAAAGAATTTTTACCACAACACACACTCCAGGCTGTGTGTTCCTTGAAGTAGATGAAAGGTAAATATGCTTCAACCTAAAAGAAATTTATTTCTGAAAATGAATGCCAACACTAAAAAGTGTGTATTTTATACACTCTTCTACATTGTATAACTGAAATCTACAAACTGAAAAGTTTATAGCTCAGTGGTAGAATGCTTGCCTCACATGCATGAGGCCCTGGGTTTGATTTCTTAGCACCATATAAACAGAAAAAGCCGGAAGTGGTGCTGTGGCTCAAGTGGGCTAGCTTTGAGCAAAGGAAACTCGGGGACAGTGCACAGCCCTTGAGTTCAAGCTTCAGGACTGACAAAAAAAAGAAAGAAAGAAAAAAGTCTCACTGACTTTCCTGCTCCGGCTGGCTTCAAGTCGCGATCCTCAGATCTCAGCTTTCTGAGCAGCTAGGATTACAAGCATGAACCCCCCAGAGGCTGGCTGTAAATATTTAAAAAAATTAAATTCTTGCCAGCCACTGGTTGCTCATGCTTGTAGTGTATTGTGGTTCAAAACCAGCTTAGGCAGAGAAGTCTGTGAAACTCTTTTAAGTCCAATTAACCATTGCAATTTATTTGCATTGTCTAATTCCCAATACTACATTTCTCAAAGTGGTTTACAAGATGTCTTTTCAGGTTTCACAACTTTGTGCCTTCGATAAATCAGGTGTCAGCACTGCCTTAGACTGAAGAGGAACAAGAATCTGGAGTTGGTTTGCCAAAAGCAGCCTTAATTTCTTACTGGCCTCATCTAGAACAAAGACTCTGATCACCTCATATTTAGTGTTTTCACTTGTCAAGGAACACTTAACAACTGTCTTCAAATCAGTTAACCAAAAATTATAATTAGTCTGGGAATGTGGCTTAGTGGTAGAGTGCTTGCCTAGCATGCATGAAGCCCTGGGTTCTATTCCTGAGTACCACATAAACAGAAGAAGCCAGAAGTGGCTCTTTGGCTCAAGTGGTAGAGTGCTAGCCTTGAGCAAAAAGTTCAGGGACAGTGCTCAGGCCCTGAGTTCAAACGCAAGGACCAGCAAAAAAATAAAAATAAAAAACTTGACAAAGTTATAAATACTACATTTAAAAAATATAAAATGACCCTGCAATAGATGAGTGGATCAGAAAATGCGGCATCTATACACAATGCCTATGTGCCAAAATGAACTCCAAGAAATGGAAACCAGAGGTTATTATTTTAAAAAAAGGAAGGACAATAAGTTTATTTAATGTTACTCTTTGATTATAAAAACGTAGAGAAAATGAGTGTATTAATAAGTTGCAAAATAATTGGCAAGATATTTTGTGTGGCCGTTTTAAAGAACATTTAACAAAAGAAAAATCTGAAAATCGCTTACATTTATTATACTAAAAAACATATTCATAATGTCTATGCATAGAAAATGTTAATAGAGTCAGTTTTGTCAAAGTTCTGCTTGGTGTTTTCAGAGTTTCCTATGGACCTTCATCCCAAAAATGTTCATGTGCTAATACTGCCATTTTACGTCACATTCAGTTTTTATATTTCTTTGTAGTTAGTGTCTTTAATCATGCCCTGTTAATACTTTTTTACTATAACAAAGTATTTGGGATAATTAACCTGTAAGAAAACAATATTTATTGTAGCTTTTGGTGTCAACCATATTGAGATGGAGCTTTGCTAACTTTTTGCCTGGACTGGCCTTGAATTGTGATCCTCTGGATCTTTGCTTCCCAAGTAGCTAGGATTATAGTCCTATACCTCCATACATAGCCCATGATACGATCTTTTTAAATAGCAACATAATGGACAGGATGACTCCTTTGAAGAACCTGCTGAAAATACAGGTTGCTAGTCTTCCTCCAGAAATTGTGATTTAGTGGCTTCCCATGAGCCTTCTAACCTGAGACTCCTTCCTGGATGATCTTGATGCAACATGACAGACAACCTCCTAGGTCACATTTCCTCACAGAGCGGGAACTTAGATTTGTTTCTTGTGTTTGTCTTTTTTGGTACTGGTATTTGAACCCAAGCCCTAGGCATGCTATCCATACTCTTAGCACTGAGCTCTGTGTGTCTCTAATCCAAGAGTGTTTTTTTATTTTTTATTTTTATTTTTTTGTCAGTCATAGAACTTGAACTCAGGGCCTGGGTGCTGTCCCTGAGCTCTTTTTGCTTAAGGCCAATATTCTACCACTTTTAGCCACAGATCCACTTCCAGTTTTCTGGTGGTCAATTGGAGATAAGAGTCTCATGGACTTTCCTGCCCAGGCTGGCTTTGAACAGTGATCCTCAGATCTCAACCTCCTGAGTAGCTAGGATTACAGGTGTGAGCCACCAGCACTCAGCTCCAAAAGTGTTTTTTAAAGATGTTCACTATAAAAATTACTTGCTCAGTGTCACATCTTTCTTGTGTTGTCTGTCTGTCCCAGAGCAGTGCCTTTGCTAGGTTACCTACCTCAGGATCTAATCGGGACATCCATCTTAACATACTTGCACCCGGAAGACCGTCCTCTGATGTTTGCCATGCACCAAAAAGGTAGGACCTGCTCCTCAGAAGTTAACACTGACTTGTTCTAATTTTTCCTTAGAGCTTAACCTTAAACCAAATAGTGATGTTTTGAGACTGCTAAAAGAATCGTTTGCTGTTTTTAACTTACTAAAAACCACAAATAAGCCAAGCATCGGTGGCTCACGCCTGTAATCCTAGCCACTCAGGAGGCTGAGATCAGAGGATCGCGGTTCAAAGCCAGCCCAGCCAGGAAAGACTGTGAGACTCTTATTTCCAATGAACCAATAGAAAACCAGAAGAGACACTGTGGCTCAAGCGGTAGAGCACTTACCTTGAGCTGAAGAGCGCAGGGACAGCGCCCAGGCCCAGAGTTCAAGCCCCACGAATGACCAAAAAACACACACACAAATAATTACTCCAAAGGCACTTGTAATTAGTATGCCTCAAGTTAGTTTTTGTCTTATTGTTTTGTGCAGTCTTGAAGTACGCAGGCCATCCTCCCTTTGAACACTCGCCCGTTCGATTCCGCACTCAGAATGGAGATTACATCATCCTGGACTCCAGTTGGTCCAGCTTTGTGAACCCCTGGAGCCGGAAAGTATCTTTCATCATTGGTCGACACAAAGTTCGAACGTAAGTCAATCCATTTTAATGTTTTCAAAGAATTTTTCTTAATCAATTAATACGTTTAGCCTAAATGAAGCACAGACTTCCTTGCAGTGCCTTCGGGAAATGTTAGCAATAATGCAGGCTTTTCAGTATCACTGGACAGCACATTTTACTTGTATTTTTGTGTGTATGTACCAGTCCAGCAGCTTGACCTCAAGTCCTGGACACCGTCCCTGAGCTTTTTTGTCCAAGGCTGGTGTTCTACCACTTGCTGCACAGCTCCATTTTCAGCTTTTTTTAAATAGTTAATTGGAGATAAGAGTCTCACAGGCTGGGAATGTGGCTTAGTGGTAGAGTGCTTGCCTAGCATGCATGAAGCCCTGGGTTCCATTCCTCAGTACCACAAAACTGGAAGTGGCACTGTGGCTCAAGTGGTAGAGTTCTAGCCTTGAGCAAAAGAAACAGGGACAAGCCGGGGACCAGTGGTTCACGCCTGTAATCCTAGCTATTCAGGAGGCTGAGATCTGAGAATCGCAGTTCAAAGCCAGCCCAGGCAGGAAACTCTCTGAGACTCTTATCGCCAATAAACCACTAGAAAACCAGAAGTGGCGCTGTGGCTCAAGCGGTAGAGTGCTAACCTTGAGCTGAAGAGCGCAGGGACAGCACCTAAGCCCAGAGTTCAAGCCCCACGACCGACCAAAAAAAAAAAAAAAAAAAACAAAGAAAAGAAACAGGGACAGTGCCCAGGACAAGCTCCAGGACTGGCAAAAAAAAAAAAAGTCTCACAAACTTTGCTGGTTGGGCTGGCTTTAAGCCACAATCCTCAGATCTCAGCTTTCTGAGTAGTTAGGATTACAGGCATGAACCCCCACTGGCTATAAATTTTTTTTTGGGGGGGGGGTTCTAGTCGTGGGGCCTGAACTCTGGGTCTGGGCGCTGTCCCTCAGCTCTTCAGCTCCAGGCTAGCACTCTACCCCTTGAGCCACAGCGCCACTTCTGGCTTTTTTTCTTTTTTTGCTTATGTGGTACTGAGGAATCGAACCCAGGCCTCAGGCATGCAAGGCAAGCACTCTTACTCTGAGCCACCTTCCCAGCCCCCTATAAATATTTTTAAAAATTAAATTCTTGCTGGCCACTGGTTGCTCATGTTTATAGTATATTGTGGTTCAAAGCCAGCTCAGGCAGAAAAGTCTGTTAGACTCTTAAGTCCAGTTAACCATCAGAAAACCAGAAGTGGAGCTGTGGCTAAAGTGGTGGAGTGTCAACCTTGAATTTAAGAAAGTTCAGTAAAAGCATGAGGCCCTTGAGTTCAAGCCCTAGTACCAGCACCAAAAAGAAAGGAAGGAGGGAGGGAAGGAAGGAACTGTTTGTAATTCTATCAGCATACCCAACTTGTCTGCTTCATTGCTGTTCCTACCTTGTAACATAATCGTATAAAATGGGTTCAGAATAACCTGGCATGCTATTCTTGCAGCTAAGAAACTCATAGTCCCTTCTCTTTTTTGGAGGGGGTGGGCATTATGAGTTGAAATTGGAGCCTTGCACTTGCTACGCAGATTATTTAGTGATTTAGCCATATTTCCTAACCTTCTTTTTGCTCTCCTATTCTTCCAACAGCTTCTCCCATGCCTGGGCTAGCCTGCATTGCAGTCCTTCTAGTTACACTTTCCACTTAGTGCCATTATGCCTAGGTTTTTATTGATTAAGATAGGGTCTCACAGATTGTTTTTCCCAGGCTAGCCTCAAAACTGTGATCCTCTTGATCTTAGCTTCCCAGGTAGCCAGGATTACATTCATGAACCACTGCACCAGCCTTGATTTTTTTTTTTGTCCAATTTTAGTTGACCTGGTATAGATTCCTCTTTAATATCTCTGTGTGGGTTTGATTTGGTTTTTGTTTTTATGTGTTTAAGTATGAAAATTACACTTAGTGGCATACTAACATGAAGACTGCTTTAGCTGGGCTCCTGTAATACCCTAGCTACTCAGGAGGCTGAAATCTAAGGATAGTGGTTTGAAGCCAACCTGGGCAGAGAAGTCCACTAGACTCTTATCTCTAGTTTAACACCAAAAAGCTGTAAGTTGAGCTGTGGCTCAAGTGGCAGAGTGCTAGCCTTGAGCCAAAAGGCTCAGGGACAGCGCCTTAAGAGTTTATGTTTTAATAATTTTGGTGGGTTTTTTTTTTTGTTTGTGTGATTGGTTGGTTGGGTTTTTTTGAGATAAGAGTCTCCCTGTTGAGCCCAAGCTGGCCTTAAACTTGAAATTCTCCTGTATCAGCCTCTTCCTAAGTGCTGGGATTACCATTCCTCCTCCTGCTTTTTTATTTTGTCCTGAAACTTTTTATACGTCAGCATATTAAACAGAGAATATGCCAAGTGCTGGTGGCACACACTTGTTATCCTAGCTACTTAGCAGGCTGAGATTTGAGGATCTCGACTCAAAACCAATGAGATTCTTGTCTCCAATTAATTACCAAAAAAAGCTGGAAGTGGAGTTGTGACTCAAGTGGTAGAGCACTAGCATTGAAAACAAAGGGTCATGGATAGCACCCAGGCTCTGAGTTCAAGTCCCAAGACTGACACAAACTGAGATCATATTTTATTACAGCTTAAATTACAGGAGATCTGATAGGTACAGTAAAGAAAGATCTCAAAATTGTTCTCATTTCTCCGTGCTCCAAGGTTTGGTCTTTCTGCAGAGACGGCCTGGACCTTAATGGAAATGGGCTCCTCGCTACCCTAACTCCTGAGACTGATTTATGGTAGAAAAGTAACAAATAAATATGTAAGACATGGGGCTGCCAATTAAGTGCTGTTTGAACTAGTCAAAAAAACATTTTTCTCCTAGTAGGGAAATGAAAATAAAATTATGTTATTCTATAAATGTAGGGAACTCCAGAGTATGTAAGATTTTTCTTGTGACTTATCCTTCTAGAAGCGCTTCTTGATAGGTGTGTGTCCCTGCCCCAAGCATTAGTAATGATAAGTCTTTCTCCTCTTCCCTTCCTCTGAGTTTTGAACTTAGGGCCTTGCATTTACTCAGCTTGTTTATCTGCTTGGGTGATGATGCTTTACCACATGCGCCACTCCTCCACTCCTGCTTTTTTGCTGGTTGTTTTACAGATGGAATCTAGTGAACTTTCCTGGTTAGGCTGTCTTTGAATCTCCATCCTCTAGATCTTAGCCCCTTAAATAATTAGGATTTCAGATGTGAGCCACTAGCACCTGGCTAAGTCTTGAATTTTCCAAGCTATCCTTTCAGTTTTTTGATTTAACACATGAAATTACAACATACATATATATAAAACTTACTATAAGTACTCCAAATCTCATCAGCATTTTGGAAAAAAACTAAAACAGCTATTTGTATGTCAAGATCTAAGGAAATGTGAAGGAAAGAACTTAGAGGCTACTAGCCATTAATCTTACATAAAATAACAGTTATACATTGTATCTATAATATATTTTGGTGGTACTGGGGTTTGAACTCAGGTCCTCATACTTACTAGTCAACACCCCACTCTACCACTTGAGCTATACCCCAGCCATACAAAATTACTATTATTATTATTATTATTTTGTTGGTCATGGGGCTTGAACTCTGGGCCTGGGTGCTGTTGCTCAGCTCTTCAGCTCAAGGCAAGCGCTCTACTGCTTGAGCCACAGTGCCACTTCTGGTTTTCTAGTAGTTTATTGGAGATAAGAGTCTCACAGACTTTCCTACCTGGGCTGGCTTTGAACCACAATCCTCCTGAGTAGCTAGGATGACAGGCATGAGCCACCAGCGCCCTGCTACAAAATTATTTTTAATGTATTTATTCCTTCCAGTATTTGTGAGCTGCCTGCACTGGGAAAGCACTGTCCCGGACCCTGAGAGTGAGGAGACAGAATCTTCCCTTCGCCTTTCTTTTCTCCCAAATACAGTCAAGTTCTATAGCAACGTTCACAGCTAGGAATACCTAAATGTCATAGTATGAAACAGCTTCTTCTGTTTCTGTTTCAGAATTTCACTTTAAAAACAACATCCAATTATGTTTGAGAATTTCTTAAGTTCATCATATACAGAGCGTGTTTAATTTGTACATTCATTCATTCATTGGTGGATGCATTTATTCTTTAACAAAGACTTAGTGGGTGCCCACTGCTCTTGGTATGGAGATAGAGGAGTGAAACGGCAGACACCAACCACAACCCATGCTTACAAGGTCTGGGAAAGAGGCAGAGGACACCCAGTGTGTGTAAAAGCACAGTGTATTGTTGTGAGGCAAGGCACAGTCTCGTGCGCACACGGTGCCCCTATACTGTGCTGAGAGGCACCTGCAGGGCAGGTGGGTGAGCAGCAGCTGCTACACCAGCCGGGACATGGAGTTGGCGCCTCTGTGACACTGCGCTGTCCTAAGATTTCCTCAGAGTAACTTCTGACTTGGGGCAGTCTTCCAGCTTTTGGTAACTGAGCTGGTGGTATCTATCAGTTGTGGGACTAGACTGGTGTAATAGGAAAGCACTGGCTCTGGGCTCAGACAAGTGCATTTAGACCCTGGCTCTGGTGCCTTTTGGTTATGTAAATTTGGAGAAATTCTTTAGACACTCTGATCATCTCACTATATTTTTTGTGTGTTTATTGTGGTGCTGAGATTGAACTCAGGGCTTCATACCTGGTAGGCAAGGGCATTGAGCACTAAGCCCCACCCTACCCTGCACTCTTCTCTAACTATAGTATAGAAATAACTGAGATGATGTAATCTGACTTAGATGTTCCACTGGAATTTAATCTGCCAAGTCCTGAGAGGCAACTGGCCTTTCCTTTGCTTGTCCCTTAACAACTAGATTTTGTGTGTGTGTGTGTGTGTGTGTGAGAGAGAGAGAGAGAGAGAGAGAGACAGAGAGAAATGGATAATCTTCATTCATTCCAAAAATACTTTTAACTGGATTCAGAATTGATTTATGACTAAATATTTATATATTGTGTATTTGTGCCAAAACTTTCCATAAAAATTGGTACTTTAGGGAAACTTGTTTGTTGCTGGCCAGTGGCCCACACCTGTAATATTAGCATTCAGCCCAGATCACTTAATAAAACCTCATTTCAAATAACTTACGTGCTACGGGTGTATCTTCATGATAGAGCTCTAGCCCAATGTGTGCGGAGGCCCTGGGTTTGATTCCCAGCACTGTAAGAAAGAAAGGGGAGAGAAAGAGTAACACTAAAGTCTCGTTTGTTTCTTTGTGTTTTCTATACCCATAAAGAGATTCACTTTGGACTTCATTGTAAATGAATTTTAAATTTCTTGACTCAAAATCTTTCACTTGGTATTTTGTAGGAGTCCACTAAATGAGGATGTTTTTGCTACCAGAATAAAGCAGACAAACAGTAGTGACAAAGACATAACAGAATTACAAGAGCAAATTCACAAACTTCTCTTGAAGGTAAAGTGAGAGGTTTTAACAAAACTAACACAAAATTTCCATAATGGGTGTTTTTGTTAATATTCAGTATTAGTAAAGTCACATAGTAAAAGTAAACTATGAAGAGATCTTTACATTCCAGAATTTTTTCGCCTTCCTCATTCTGTCTTTGAACTAAGTTCTATCCTGAGGGAAATATACAGAACATTTGTAGAACTCAAGCAAACAAGTAGACAGCAAACTAAGGTACAGCTACAAGACAGAATAGCTTTCTACATGAGAGAATGCTTGTATTCCAAACACCACCAAAGGGTTCAACCTCAGGATTTTGGTTTCCGTATATTTAAAAAGAAATAATTATTATGAAGTGGAAGAAGAGAGATGCTGGGTCTCTGTGTTTCTGGTATAATAAGGCAAAATAGGAAAACCATTCATTGAAAAAGAACTATTTGTGGGTTCTTCTTGTAAATAGCTGTTAGTCCAGTAATTTTCAAAATGTCTTTAATAAAATCTCTATAGAGTTCAGAACATATCCATATCATTCTTAAACTTATACGTGGTGTGTGTAAGTTCACTTGGTTTGTAGTTTCTATATTATTGTTAATCTTTGCCCTTGTAATGGGTTGCAATAAAAAGGAACCAAAGCAAAAAAAAAAAAAAAAATAGTGTGAGAGAGAGAGAGAGAGTGTGTGTGTGTGTGTGTGTGTGTGTAAGTAAAGTTTAGTCTTATCTATTGTAAACTCAACATAAATAACTAGTTTATTATCATGATTTTTAAAATCATGTGTATACTACAGCATTGAAAATATGTGTTCTAGATACACTCATCCCACCTAGAAAGTAAGACTTTGCCCTTGAGAATTAGAAGGCGACTGAGGAACATCCAGGGTTAGCTCAACCTGCATGCACCTAGTTCAGAGTCAGAGAAGTTTTCTTTTTAATTTTGGGATGACTAGCAATGCTCTGCTGTGGGGAGCCAGGAACTGAACGGGCCCTTTCTCTCTTCAGCCAGTTCACGCGAGTGCTTCCAGTGGCTACGGAAGCCTGGGAAGCAGTGGTTCACAGGAGCAGCTTGTGAGCATCACGTCGTCCAGCGAGTCCAGTGGGCACTGCGCTGAGGATATGCCGAAGGAGCCGGTGCGTGGCAGAAAGGGTCTTGGACAGGTGCCAGGCCACCTTCAGTTCTCTGTGGTGCTTCATGGGGGGATGTCTCCAGAGCTGTTCTTAACTTGAAACTCTCATCTGATACGTTTCAACCCATTTTGTTAAAAATACCACCTTTGGAAGGTGAATTAATTATTTTATGCTTTCTGAAAATTAGCATTTTGTGATGTACAGATGGGCCTTTTTTATCCATAGCAATATGCCATGGAACACTGAACTAAATGAGAACACAGGTGGTACACCTCTCATTTCCAGCTGTTCAGGAGATAGAAGACAGAAGAATCTTCATTCAAGGCTAGCTGGGGCAAAGTTACTGTGAGACTCAGACCCCATGTGGAAACAAAAAGTCAAGCATAGTGGCTCATGCCTGCGATTCTAGCTACTTAGGAGGTAGAGGTAGGAGACTTTACAGTCCAAGGCCCACCCTAGGCAAAACCTCAAGATCTGACCTGAAAAATAAAGGAAAAAGAGCTGTGAGTATGCCTACCATACACCAAGCCCTGAGTTCAAACCCTAGTAGTGAAATAACAACTAATTTTGAACATGCCTTGAATGATCCAGAGTGTAAATGTATTTTGTTTATGAGCGTTTTAGTGCACATTTCTATAATTTTTACAAACTGTTTTATCTTTTCCTCAAGATGACCTTGGAGCAGGTCTATGCCAATGTAAATGAAATTAAGAATCTGGGTCAGCAGCTCTACATTGAGTCAAAGACCAAATCATCAGTCAAGCCAGGGATGAGGATGCGGACGGAGCTGCAGGGTGGTGAGTGAGCGGGCGGGCCAGGCCCTTCTCAGGAGAGCCACCCTCTTCAGAGGGGCGCGGACCCCAAGCTTCTGTAGCTGCTCTCTTCTTCCTTTACTTGACGGATACGAATAGAACAATAATAATGGCAGCAGTTTAAATCAGACCAGAATGCTCTTCTAATGTGCTTCTACTGAAAAATTAGCGCTTACAGTAACAGGAGTTCCCCAATTTTCTGACAGTTCATTTTAGAATATACTTTTTTTGCGGGGGGGGGGGGGGGGGGGGGCGGTCAGTTGTGGGGCCTGAACTCTGGGCCTGGGCGCTGTCCCTCAGCTCTTCAGCTCAAGGCTAACGCTCTATCACTTGAGCCACAGCACTACTTCTGGTTTTTTTCTGCTTATGTGGTGCTGAGGAATCGAACCCAGGGCTTCATGCGTGCGAGGCAAGCACTCTACCACTGAGCCACCTTCCCAACCCCTTAGAATATACTTTTGATTATAATGTTAGAACCATCATTTCTCCTGTCATTCAAATAATTGGAGAATATTTACAACATAAAAATGAAAAACATTGACATTTTTTTCTTAGGATTGGATCAGTTGTATTAAGTGGCATCATTTTGAAAAGTTAATAGTATAGCAGAGGAAAGTTTTATAATATAGAGGCCAGATTGAATTAACTCTTGTATTCCTTCATGCTGGGGATCAGACCCAGCCTTTGCCCTCACTTGGCAAGTATTCTACCACTGTGCTCCATTCCCCAGCCTAAATTAACTTTAATTTTGCTAACTCTGCCTTCATCATCTCCCAGAATGAATTTGGAAGCCATGATGTCTTGTCATTGCCAAATGTGGGTACGTCGCAGTCACACAGTAGGAGTGATAGTTTCCAAATATAATACTAATACTAATAATAGCTTTTTTTTTTTTTTTAGGAACTGACATCATTTATGCCATGAAAATTCAAGTGCTCTTACCATAGGTTTTATCACCAGTAGCCTTGGTATGCTGCTGAATCAAAATTTGAGACTAAATTTCTAAAGAACAGGAATTTATTTCTCACAATGTTATGTTTGAGGCCGAGAAGCCTAAGATGGCAGGCTGGTATTTGGTGAGGACCTTATCTTTGCTTTCAGAAAGACCTGGGACGCTGCAGCCTCCATGGGAGGAGCCATGGTGCTCGGGGGAGGGTAGACACACAGGAAGGGGCTTGGGTAGCTCCCTGTAGCCACTTGCTTTTTGAGACATGACCCAGGTGATGCCAAGCCCCTAGAATCAAGCAAATCTCCTTCGTTCTCCTGAGTCCTGGGATGGTGAGTGCAGCACACCTGCCTCCAGCCTCCTGTGAGGTCACTACCAATCCCCTTCGTTCCCTAAAGCCCCACCCCTGAATACAGTCACAGCCGGCTTCACTTTCCTACATGCATATATGAAAGGGCTGTGTACGTTCCAGCCATGGAAAAACCCTGGGGCTCCTTCCAAATGGAACCACGTCTGAACTTTTTGTTTTCTGTTTTCACTCTGGTAGGTAATTAAGCATTTTGTTTATTGTGCTGCTATATATAAAGGCACACAGGCATGAGTGTGGGAATGCCTTCCCCCTACAACCACCAGATTCTCTGCAGAAGTGTAAATTTTAAATAGTATTCTTGTCATGTGTCACTACCCATATTCTGACCAAGAAGATGTTTTCAGGACGTCTTAGCTAAAATTCCTCAACATTTCCCTGCTTGTCTGACCCAGTCAGGCTGCTCACTGCTGCCCAGGACTCCAGTCTCCTTCGTAGTGTTGCCGTTTTGTATGTTGTAGTCTCAGGACGGCTTCCCTTTTCACCACCTCCACGTCTAGTTTCCTGCCATTTACACTGCGCTGGCCCTGCCACCAGTACTATGCATATGTAACCAGACAGCGGCATTCTGTCATCCCTGTGGTTAACTGGGACCGACAGTTGTTGAGTGCTTACATGCACTGAGTCCTCAGAGGGTGACATGCACCTGCTCCTAGACGCTCATTCTTGACTAATAACACGCACAGGACACGACTTGTGGGAGAAGGAAGACCTGTCACCATATGGTATAGCTTTCAAGAACTAACACTTCTTGACACTCCTAATTTTATTAACATTTTGAGAGCTACCAGTCTTAATGAGTTGGGGGACGGGGAAGCTTCTTATATTCCCTATGCGAGAGAAACCAGAATGCAGCTTAAAAATGAAATGAAAATGTTATATTTAAATGTTGGGAGCTGAGTAGAGACACACAACAGTGGAGGGAAAAGGCAAATGACTGTTAGTTGCCTGTCTTGTGCACAGTGTGTCAGAGCAAAAAAGCAGCTTCAAGTGTATATTTCACCCGTCTCACAGACAGAGGATGCTTTAAAATAGAGGAACAAGTGGGATTTTTTTTTAGTCTGGGAAGGAGAAGAGCAACCAAGGTAGAGCAGGCCCCTCACGAGCTTGTGTGTAGATGATTGGAGCTAGGGAGACACACGTGGGGCATGTGAGATGCCTGAGTGGAAGATGACACCAGAGCAGCACAGACCAAGTGCGAATGCTCCCAGTTCCTGACTAGGGACAGGCATCTAGAAAAAGTGTTGTTCCATACTTAGAATGAAAAGGCTGGGCATGGTGAGTCACACCTGTACACCTAGCTACTCAGGAGGCAGACAAGAGGGTTGCAGTTCAAGACTTGCTAAGAGACTCCATCTCACTTACAAGCTGAGCATTGTAATACACACCTGTACAGTAATCCCAGCTGCACAAGATGCAAAAGGATTGTGGGCTGAGGCTAGGCAGAAACGCAAGACCCTGTCTGAAATCTAAGTAATGCAGAAGGGCTGGGAGCATGGCTCAGGTGGTAAAGTACGTGCCCAGTAAGTATGAAATTCTTGAGTTCAAACTCCCAGTTTTACAAAAAGGAAAGTTAGCCAGGAAGTTGCTGACCTTTCTTGACCCCGTTGCAGTGCTGAGGTCCAGGGCAGTGAGAAACTCATGCTTCCAGGGGAGGAGCAAGCTGCAAACACTGGCTTACTGAATAAGCAACTTCTCCATATCATGCAATTCCATTCTGCAAAGGTACTTCCTTAGGAACACTGTAAATCTGAAAAACAGGTCAGTAGTTATAAATAACCCCCACTTAATGCATGGGATTGGGTTCCAAGACCCTCCGTGAGTGCATAAACCCCGATATACCATATACTGTGTTTTTTCTTACACATACATACCTGTGATTGTATTTGTAAGTTAGACATAGTAAAGGCTTAACAGTAACAATGAGGTGCACAACAAGTGTACAATAGTAAACATTGCATACATTCCTTCTCTGAAGATATCTTATTGTTCTGTACTTGTTCTTGTGATTGTAATGTCTATGTGATCAGATGAAGTGAGGTGAGTTGTGGCATTGTGACTGTATAAATGTTGTCTGTGCCTGGCCTTAAAATGCTCGGAAGGAGAGTTGCTTTTGATGATCCCAATGGCTTTGGAGGGATCATAGACGGCGTCTGTACCCTAGGGAAAGGCCTGGCATGATGCCATGTGGGACAGAGCAGGGCAGTGGGAATTCATCACACCATCCAGAGTAGTGCACAATTAAACGTAGGAATTGTTTACATCTAGAATGTTCCACTGCTATTTTTGGACTGCGGTTGGCTACGGGTAACCGAAACCACAGAAGTCTCACTGGTATAGCTCTGGAGCGCAGCACTTACATAACATTGTCAGGCCCTGGGTTCATTCACCACCACCTGCAAAAAAAAAATCCACCCACTGGAACCACAGGAAGCGAAGCGGCCTCTAAAGGGTTAGGTACCAAGACTGAGGGGAGGGTTGACAGCTGGGGGAATTCTAAGTGCTAAAAGTGTGCTGCCGAATCTGAGTGTTTATAATGCATAGGCGTACTAAAGGAAGTAGGGAAGCAGAGAGCTAAGCAGTTTAGAAAGTGTTTGAACTAGGTACCCGAGGACTAAATACAAGACACTAACAGGGACAAACACCACTAGATTCTGAAGCTAGTCTGTATGCATTCTAAGGTTGAACAAATTGGTTTGAGGACCAGATTTCTCACCGTTATAGAACTTGCAAATAATTAAAGGAAGAATGCTAGAATTACTTGTGGCCCTGGACTGGAGGTAGTGGCATTGGAAGGAGCCCGTGGGCATGTTCTCTGATGGGTGGACGAGAGCTAGTTATTTGTCAGCCCTGACCATTAAGATGATCTACACAAGAATGGGCACCAAGCCCCCAGGTCTTGGTTTCTAAAGACATTTCTTTAATAAAAGGAACTAGGGCCAGAAAGTCAGAAAACGTCCAAGATATCCAAGGTAAACATGGACGGATATGTCAGAGGGCCACAAAAGACCTGAAGGAGCTCCTAGTGGCCCTGACTGCAGTATTTTGAGCAATAAACTGTATGAGATTATTGAACAACAAGAACCTGTGAGCCCATACTGATAAATGAGTGAATGAGCAGCACATGAAGATGGAGAAGCCACCAGATGTAGTAGGCTGAAAACGTGACAACAAAATTCAACGTGAGATCCTGCACTAGATCCCAGAAGAGAAAAACTACATTTAGTGTTAAACTAGTAAAAACCCAAGTGAAGTCTGAATTGCATTTGGTGGTCTTGTACCATAGGTAAATTCTTATTTTTGATCATTTCATTGTGAGGATGGTGAGGGAATTCCCTACTGCTTTTACAAGTTTTGTTTCTGTTTTTGCTTGTACTGGAGCTTAAACTCAGGGACTTACACTCCTTCGGGTTTTTTTGTTTTTTCGTCGGTCAGTAGGATTATTAATCCTACTGGTGCGTGAGAATCACTGGATAGGAAGTATACTAAAATGACTACAATATGGGACCTTTTTGGTTAGCTTTTTTTTTTTTTCTCGGTCATGGGGCTTGAACTCTGGGCCTGAACACTGTCCCTCAACTCTTCAGTTCAAGGCTAGCTCTCAACCTGAGCCACAGCACCACTTCCAGCTTTCTGAGTGGTTTATTGGAGATAAGAGTCTCACGAGCTTTCCTTCCCGGGCTTTGAACCATGATCCTCAGATCTCAGCCCCCTGAGTAGCTAGGATTACAGGCATGAGCCACCGGTGCCTCCGAGATTCAACACTCTTGATCAGCTTTTTTGCTCATAGCTGGCACTCTACCACTTGAGTGAGCCACACTTTCACTTTCTGCTTTTTTTTTGCTGACTAATTGGAGATAAGAAGTCTCTTGTATTTATCTGCCTGGACTGGCTTCAAACTTTGATCCTCAGATCTCCACCTCCTGAGTAGCTAGGATTATAGTCATGAGCCACCAGCACTTGGCTTTTGAGACTCTTCTGTAAGTATAAATAAATATTTTCCTATGTAAAATGAGTGAGTTAATGCAAGTAGTCCTTTTTCCATGATCCTTCTGAAGGTAGACAAGTCAGCCTCTCCAGACCAGCCAGAGTAGCCTTTGTTAATTACAGCCACTGCTTTGTTAGTACAGCAGCTGCCCACAGTACTTGATTATGGAGTTGCTCCTTCCTGAGCTTTTTTTCTTGGTTTCCATGACATCATGCCTTGTAGGATTCTTTCCTCGGGTCTCGTCTCACCTGTACAGGAGTTCGGGTTTTAGGCCCTTGTCCTCTTCACATGTCTACGATGAGATTTGGACAGCCTTCACAGGGCTTTGTGTGTTTCCTGGCCCTGGGGCTTGAACACAGGACCTGGGTACTGTCCCTGAGCTTTTTTTGCTGAAGGCTAGTGCTGTGCCTACTTGAGTCATAGCTTACTTTAGGCTTGTTAGCAGTTCGTTAGAGATGAGTCTAATGGGCTTTCCTGCTCTGGCTGACTTTGAACCACAATTCTCACAACCTCCTCAATAAGATTACAGGCACGCAGCCGGGAGCCAGTGGCCCACGCCTGTAATCCTAGCTACTCAGGAGGCTGAGATCTGAGGATCGCAGTTCAAAGCCAGCCCAGGCAGGAGAGACTATGAGACTCCTATCTCCAATAAAACACCAGAAAACCAGAAGTGGCGCTGTGGCTCAAGCGGTAGAGTGCTCGCCTTGAGCTGAAGAGTACAGGGACAGCGCCCAAGCCCAGAGTTCAAGCCCCATGACCGACCAAAAAAAAAAAAAAAGATTCCAGGCACGAGCTACTAGTGTCCAGTCTCTTCATAGGATTTTAATTCATGATTGCTCTTGATTTTATACTAGCTATACTTAGCAGCTTAAATACAAATAGATACAAGAAATGTGTCATGTTAGTCACTGCTGTCGAGGGCAGCTCCAAGAGAAAAAGTCCACAATACTATAGAACTTCTGCTGCACCCAGGTTCTGCATAGGAAAGAAGATGTGCTTTACTTCATGAGTGCTTTACTCATGGTGCTAGCTGGGGGGGGTGGGGGGTGTTCATACACTGTAGAGTGCATCAGTCAGTGTCTGTGGTATATACTGTTTGTACAACATACACTATAAAGTGCATCAGTCAGTGTCTGGTGGTATATGCCGATTGTACAGTCTACGCTATAGAGTGCAGCAGTGCCCATGGGTGGTGTTCGCTATTGTACAGCAAAAACTGAAGAGTGCATCAATGTCTAGTGAGTGTCAGCTTGACACTGGCAAATGCCCGTCCACCTCTTGCCTAACAATTGCATTGATAATTTGTGCCTGAAACATGTTTCCCTCCATTTTTAAATGCCAGTGTCATCATTCTATGTAATGTGTACATATGCACTATTATGGATTGTGGATTTTCTCTCTCCTCGTGCATTTAGATCTGAGCTTATGTGCAATTCCTGGATAATCCTCTGTTGACATATATGTCATAAAGTACCATCATTTAATGTACTAGGCATTTTCTTAACCTAAATACTAAATATTTTCACGGCATGTCCCTTCACTCTTTCAGATGAACAGAAGGCCTTTATCTCCTCCCAGACCTTGGAAAACAAAAGCATGCACACTGAGCCTTGTGAAGACTTGAGGAAAGAGCAGCATAGCCCATCCTATCAACAGATAAACTGCATCGATAGTGTCATCAGGTATAAGACATAAATGTAATCATGTATTCACGTGCCTTGTGACTCTGGAGCCTCCATAGAACTTGAGTAGCTGTCCATTCCTGCCTAAGGATAGCCTGCCACATACTACTCACTGCTTGCTGAACACGTGGTGGTAGCACAGGAGATGATCTTGCTCTGGAAGAGTTTCAGGACAGTTGAGAAGTCCTGACCTGAAAAGATGTAAAGCTACGTGTATGGCTCATACCCATAATCCTAGCTAGTCAGGAGGCTGAGATCAAGAGGAGTGCTGTTTTGAGGCCAGCCCAAGCAAAAAGCTCATGAGACTCCATCTCTACCAATGAGAAACAGAGCTCAGTCTGTTATTCCAGGCATAGGTCGGAGAGTTAAGGTCCCATCTGGCCTGGGCATCAACATGAGACCCCAGTATACACTCTCTCTCTCTCTCTCTCTCTCTCTCTCTCTCTCTCTCTCTCTCTCTCTCTCTCTCTCTCTCTCTCTCTCTCTCTCTCTCTCTCTCTTTCTCACACACACACACACATACATACACTCACACACATGGACATGGTGTAGGCTGGGATGACCTAGGCCATAGTAAAAGAGATGTTACAATCCAGCAATCCAGGCTGGGATGAAGATAGATGTCATTAAAGAACGAAGTAATAAGAACCCCAAACGGAAATGGGGAGAGAATCCAAGGGATAGGAAGGGGATGAGGGACTCCCTGTTCTGTCGTTGCAGATACCTGAAGAGCTACAGCATCCCCACACTGAAAAGGAAGTGTATATCCTGTACAAATACAACCTCTTCATCCTCAGAGGAGGACAGACAGAGCCACAAGGCAGACAGCGGCCAGACACCACAAGGTAACAGCAATGCCTTCACAGCTGGATTCAAAGGACCCTCACATATCCATTCTACTCTGTTTCCTTTATTTTTTTTTTTTTTCCTTTTGAGACAGGGTCTTGCTATCTCATTGTGTAACCTAGGCTGGTCCCAAACTTGAGGTCCCCCAAGTGCTGGGATTACAGACATGCACCACCATACCCAGCCCTCTATGATTTCTCGTCTTTATTTCATTGCCATCACAAAGTCCTAGTATCGTAGTAAGTTCTTTACAGCCAGTAGGCTTTGTATGTGTGAGACACTGACTTCCAAAAACTGTTTTGGTTGTTAAGCTCCCTCTTGGGATTTTTCTTCTCACGACTGGTTTCTCGTTTATCACCAGCTGCTGCGCAGAACACAGCCATACCAACTGTGGAAATGCCAGCCACTGGCGGAGGAGCTTGGACCGTGTCCATGGCCGCCCTGAGCATAGGGTCAGCCGTGAGCCCGTGCCGCAGCGGCGGCATTGCCTGTGCCCTGCCCCTGCACCCAGGTACCACCTCTGCCTCTGCTGAGAAAACAAGTCAGGAAGACTCACTTATTTTTGGAAATGTCATTATGTTTTATTAATTGGTCTAAGCCAGACCAACCAGAAATGCCTGCGAAGGTTTCTCCAATTAGCAAAAAAAAAACCAGACTAGAGGCATGGCTCAAGTGGTAGAGTGTCAGCCAGCCGAGTAAAAACATGAAGTCATGAGTTCAAGCCCCAGTACAGGTAAAAAGAAGAAAACGGAACCTGTAATAATAATGGCTAACACTAGATTAGCAGAGGGCTGGTCACTACTACTCAAGACAGATGCTCTTCTCAGTGCTTTAAACACATTGACTGATCCTATAGGCCAGTCCTGGGGCTTGCACTCAGCCTGGGCGCTGTCCCTGAGCTTCTTTTGCTCAAGATTAGCGCTCTACCACTTGAGCCACAGCACCACTTCCAGCCTTTTCTATTTCTGTGGGACTGAGGAATCAAATCCAGGGTTTCATGCATGCTAGGCAAGCACTCCACCACTAAGCCACCTTCCCAGCAAACACTTTTTAATATTTGATTGTTGAATATATAAAGCTACTAGCTATTTAAAAATAAATTCAAGGACTGGGATGTAGCTCAGTGGCAAAACGCTTGCCTAGCAAGTGCAACCTCCTGGGTTCGATCCCCAGTACCAAAAAATAAAAGACAAAAAAAAATACAGTTAAAAATAAATTCAGGGGCTGGGACGTTGGCTCAGTGGTAGAGCGCTTGCCTTGCATGCCTGAGGCCCTGAGTTCAATTCCTCAGCACCACATAAGCAAAAAGAAAAAAGCTGGAAGTGGCATTGTGGCTCAGGTGGTAGGGCACTAGCCTTGAGCTGAAGAGCTGAGGTACAGCACCCAGGCCCAGAGTTCAGGCCCCACAACTGGACCAAAAAATAAATAAATAAAATAAATTCAAAGATAAATTTGTTTAAAAATCAGGGACACTAGAAAATATAATAAAAGCAAGAGTAAGTAAATATACATGTATCGATTACTATTCTATAATGTGTATATACATAGTTGTACAAAAAAGTAAAACACATTTTTGTGATTTTTTTAATGTTCCAGAAGTTAGAGCAATGTTTATAAAAATGTACTGAGAAGCAATATAAAAAGTAGAACTAAATACAAGTAGTTGATGGGACTTAGAGCGCAGGCCTCTTCTTTGACCTCAGCAGAGGATGCCACCATGATTTGTGAGCCCTGGGCCCTGGAAGCACAGCCTGTTCCGCTGACAGCAGAGGAGATGAGACATGTCGGGCTCACAGCGGCTGTGCTGTCGGCCCACACACAGAAGGAAGAACAGAATTATGTTGACAGCTTTCGGGAGAAGATCCTGGCGTCGCCCTATAGCTGCTATCTTCAGCAAGAAAGTAGAAGCAAAGCAAAATACTCCTACGTTCAAGGTAGCTGATCAAAATCACATGTGGTAATGTATTAGGGAGTGATGGATTCCACAGCCCCACAGTGACGGTCAAGTCCTGGTATTTCCATCTCTCCTGTAACAGGGCCAGACGTGCAGGTAACCTGCACATGCTTCCCATGGTCGACAGTGCCTAGCACAGCACAAGCGTCATTACGCTGCATTGCTTAGGTGCTGACAGGCAAAACATGTCTGTGCTGTCAATGAACGTCTCACACTCAAGTACAGGTGCAATTTTTTTCCTAGATACTTAACAGCCTCCATTGGTTGAATCTGCAGATATAGAACACGAGGATGTAGAGAAAGAAAACAGTACAAGTTGTACTTACAAGAAATGAGAAGGTGAAATAATTTCATTTACAATGGCAATTCAGGATCTGTCTTAGATCCTGGATCTAAGACACTGATTTATGTACGAAACTGATGGGGATACTGGAATGGGCTGGTATTTTATAGCACCAATGTGTAGACTTTTGTTAGTCATTTTCTGCCGTGCCTGTAATATACATAATTACAAATTGGCATGTGTCTATTCCCTTGTAATTACTTCCTGTCATTGGGTAAGTGTACTCTCTTTCAGGGGTTTTAGTCTCCATAATGGCCTCCATCTTCATCATTTCAGGAGCTTCTCCTTCCAAGCAGAACAGATCAACTTGGAGCAAGAAAGGGAAGCACAAACGGCAGAGGCTGCCGGTGCCACTGGATGCCAGCAGCTCCGGCCCTGGCCTCTGTCCCCATGCCGGGGCTCTACTCCCGGGTGTGCAGCCCTGGGAGCCTCCTGCAGCCGCCTCCCCCAGCGCCTCAGGCCTTCCCAGCCCATCTACCCTGCTGGTCCCCAGCCAACCCCCTTACCTCCTCCCAATGTGTCCTCTCCTGGCCTTGACCTCAGTGGGAGTAGGAAGCCTCGCAGCCTGGGCGGCTGCTCCCGGATGTCCCATGGCCAGCAGCCTGCAGGCTCCTCCAGCATCCCCTCCTCCCCATGTGGATACTTGGATGACCATTGTCCTCCCAAGCCCTGCTGTCTGTTCCTTGTGGCCACCATCATCCTCTCCGTATCTATTCCTGGGGGACCCAGGCTCCCCTGAAGTGCCAACCCCGATACCAGCTCCAAATCTGGAGCCACCTACTTACACCAGCAACCAAAGGAGAGCAGAGGAAAAGTGGGAGACACAGAGTGGAGAGCACCTACTTCTTGGTTCAAGGAGCAGCTCCCCCTTACAGTTAAACCTGCTCCAGGAGGAAATGCCCGCATCCTCTGAGTCTGCGCGTCCAGCGGGAAGGGGCGCCCGCCCGGAGCCCAGACGTGTAAGTGCTGCTGGTGTCCTCTCACCGAGGAGGACGTGCGTACGCACTCCCGTCCAAGCTGGGGTTGCCTGACACGGCCCCGGTGGGCGGCCGCGTCACAGGAGATGGAAACGAAGCCTTGCGCTACACAAGCATCATGCCTCACCTGACTCGCTTTACAGAGCAGAAATGAAGCATCCTGTGCACCTGTGCAGGTTTTCTAGCTTTCCTCTGCCCCTTAACATGAGCTATCCAGGTAACTATGCACAGTTCGTTGCCTGTGAAGTACTCACTTCCAACCGGGGTTGGGGCTGGTGAGAGGGGCCAGGCCCCACGGTGCGACAGAGTAAACAGTTTATAATTTCAGTTTTACAAAGGCTATCTTCAAACAGAAAAATGTTGGTCAGTTTCTTTTAGCTTTTCAAATTCTACCTAAAAAACATTCTCCAGATTTGTCAAGGTGAACTGTAGAGCCTGGCATTCCTATATTTAAGAATAGATAAAAGATGTGTGAGTATTTACACAAGTTTTTCTCCCTTGAAAGTATCGCGCCTTTCTTCACTGGCTCCAAATCAAGGCGTGCTCTCGCCTCTGGAAGCCTGGCTGCCTGCGCTGGGGCAAGGCCACGTAGCACAGTGAGCAGGCCTGGACGGCGGAGCCAGGCTCCACTCGCTGCACACCCGGCTGCCTGCCCTGGGGCAAGGCCACGTAGCACAGTGAGCAGGCCTGGACGGCGGAGCCAGGCTCCACTCGCTGCACACCCGGCTGCCTGCGCTGGGGCAAGGCCACGTAGCACAGTGAGCAGGCCTGGATGGTGGAGCCAGGCTCCACTTGCTTCACGCTCCATCAGTAGTTTTTAGGTGGCGTGGCTGAGATAGAGTGTTTAGACCTCCTCCGCCTTTTTCCCATTGGGAGAATGGAAGATGGGTACCTCATCGCTTCTGGGATCACAGATGTGATGTTTACAGGGCGCCTCTGTATGCACCTCTCCTGAGCGCTAGACAACCAGGACTCTGTCTTGTGCACTGTTGACTCCTCGTGTTTTCCACATGGTGCTTAAGATTGACAAAATACTTGGTATGCATCTGGCAAATGACAAATAAAGCACCCTTTGTGATGCCTGGCACGCAGCAATGCTCAGGAAACAGTAGTGCCTGTCGTCTGCGCTGAGTGCCTGTCGTTTGTATTGGGTGCCTGTTGTTTGTGTTGAGGGGAACTTTGGCCAAGTTCCTGAGGACAGGCGGAAAGTCTGTCTTCCCACTATGGATGTGGCATTCCTGTCAGCATGTGAGGTTGACAGTCTGCCAGTCATCTGGACCTGGAGTGGTAAAGTGCCTTTCTGTGTTCTTCCCTCCAGCCCCATACCACAAACCAGAGTGGTGACGGGAACAGCCTCCCAGCTGCTGGGGCTCCGGGCACAGCACCTCTGCGCCAGGACTCTCCACCCCGAGCCTCAGGTAGTAGACCAGGAAAGCCCGGGTGTGGCTGCCAGGCTGGGTGCCGGGAGCCAGAAGCCAGCTGCTAAAACTAGTAGGACAAAGTCCTGCCTGGAAATGGGTCTCATGGCTGTGTCGTAACTTGCTGTGTTGACTTTTGATAGGAAGCAGTGGTAGCAGTATGTCCTTCATTAGCAGTGACTATTCCTTGGAAATCTCGAGAAATGGGCAGCAGTCTCAGGGTGTACAGGAAAAAGCTTTGCCCAGGCCAGCCGCTGAGTCCATCTGGAGAATGATAGAGCAAACGCCAGAGCGGGTGCTGATGACGTATCAGATGCCGGAGAGGTATGAAAACTCACTTGGGATCTTTCTTGGTTCCTAGTCATATAAAATGATGTTAAGTGTTTTATACATAACTCTTAGAAAAATGTCTTCAGATTCATTTGAAGTCAAGTAACAAATACTTTCTTTTTTTTTTTGGTCCGGTCTTGGGGCCTGAACTCGGCCTGGGCGCTGTCCCTCAGCTCTTCAGCTCGAGGCTAGCGCTCTACCACTTGAGCCACTGAGCTACTTCCAGCTTTTTTCTTTTTGCTTATGTGGTACTGGGGAATCGAACCCAGGGCCTCAGGCATGCAAGGCAAGCGCTCTACCACTGAGCCACCTTCTCAGCCCCAACAAATGCTTTCTTAAAGCGAGGTCTGGGGCTGGAAATGTGGCCTAATGGTAGAGTGCTTGCCTAGCGTACCTGAAGTCCTGGGTTTGATTCCTTAGCACCACATACACAGAAAAAGCCTGAAATGGCACTATGGCTCAAGTGGCACAGTGCCAGTCTTGAGCACAGAGAGGCTCAGGGACAGCACCCAAGCCCTAAGTTCAAGCCCAGGACTGGCAAAAAAAAAAGCAGGGACTGCATTGATGACACTACATAGATTAGTGCCAGACAAAGGAACCCATGGCGTCATCAGGAGATGGGGAGAGGAAAAACGACAGTGCTGTCCAGGTGGCGCACCACCTCAGTCTGCTGGGAGGTCTGTTCCTTCTGTCTGTGTATTAAAACGTGACACACACTTCCCCAGGCATGAAAGGGAGACTCTAGCAGCTTGACCAAGAAACAGTGCAGTCATGTTTCAGTGTGGGCCCTCGGTGGACAGGAGGTGTGAGAGACAGCAGCAGTCCAGCCGCGCTGTTCTTAGCTGAGGAGAGGAAAACTGGGGCCTCATTCGGGTTTGGTTTTGGTGTTCATTTTCAGGGTTAAGGACGTTGTGCTGAAAGAAGATCTGGAGCGTCTGGAAAGCATGAGGCGGCATCAGCCCCGCTTTTCTCCTGGGCAGAAGGAGGAGCTGGCCAAGGTGCACTCTTGGATTCAAAGCCAGAATATCCCTCCAGGAGTTCCTACCCCAGTAAGCACAGTCACGCCCATCGTCCAGTGACACGCTTGGGCTCTTTTGCTTGACCCCATGGAGGAGTTAACCCTCACAGCCACCTCCATGGAGTCGTTGGTGTCCTGCTTTACTGGCAAGCAGTGAAGTCACGGTTGCAGATACTAAACAATTCATGTAAGGTTATACAGTTCACTGAACTTGGAATACGGATCTTTTCAATACCATTTTCTTTTACGGTTGGCTGGCATTGAGATGCTGGATATGATGATTGGCAGAGAGGGGAGGGGGCGGTACAGGAGCTGTGCAGTGTAAACACACAGGTCTGGAAGGTTCTAAAATGGAAGACGCAAGCGTCACATCCCAGGGATTCCTCCTATCAGGAACTTGAGTGGAGCCGTGGGGTTGGGTTTCTTGTTGCTGGTATTAGAGATAGAACACAAGGGCCTTGGCTCACTCCATTTGCAGCCCAGCTTCTTGGTGGCTAATTGGAGATGGGAGTCTCACAGATTTTGCTGTTTAGGCTGGCTTCAAACCAAGATCTTTCAGGCCTGAGCCCCCTGAGTAGCTAGGCCCACGTGGTCCTTCTGCAGTGACAAAGTCTTTCTAGTGAGTCCTGAAGGCTGAAAGTTTGATTTGCCGGAGCTGCAGCTGGTGGTGGTCGCGGCTGTCGTGATGATTGCGCCAATAAGGATCTTCATTCCCAAGCATGAAGATGTGGCGGCTCATTTTGTTACACTGGCTACTCAGGAAGCTGGGTGGAAGAACTGTGGTCTGAGGGGAATGCCCCCCACGGCCTCTCCTCAGCTGGGACGCCCTGGGCTTGAGGGACCATGCCTGGCCTCAGCAGCTGTGCAGAAAGTACACACGGGAGTCCCCGCCCAGGCCAGGCAGTGAAAATGCAGACAATGCAAGAAAATAGGTAAAGCACCCGGGCACGTGGCTCTCACCTGCAGTAGTCCTAGCTACTCAGTAGTTTATTAAAGGTAAGAGTCTCACCGAGTTTCCTGCCCAGGTTGGCTTCAAACTCTGATCCTCAGATTTCAGCCTCCTGAATAGCTAGGATTATAGGCCTGAGCTACTAGTGCCCAGATTGGTTTCTTTTTAAGGGTTGTTGTTACTGTTTTCTGTGTCTTGCTTTTGTTTTTTGAACATCTTACAGATGGCTTCTTGAAAGTGTCTAGCAAGTCTGCCCTCCTATCCTAGGAATTATTTGCTGGTTAATTTTTCCTAGTGAATGGGCTGTACCTCCTTGTATCTCGTGGACCTTGTAATTTTTCTTTTGTTTGAAAATTGGATATTTGAGTTCAGACTGGAAATCAGACTCCCTTTTCCCAGGGTTTGCTGACATTTATTTTTGTACTTCGTTCAAAGAGCAACAGAAAATAAAATCTAAAGATCTCTCTTTCTCTCTTTTTCTCTTTCCCTCCCTCTCTCTCCCTCTCCCTCTTTGTTCTCTCTCTTCTCTCCCTCTCTCCTTCATATAATGGCTGCACCTTCACCTGGGCATGTGTGGTGACTTGTGGGTGCTTTAGGGTCACCTAGATTTTAAGTGTTTGCCTCCCCAAAAGAGGGAAAGAGAAAAACCAAGGTGGAGTCTGCATAAAAAGCAAAGAGCACTGGCTCTTTAAATCTCCTGGAGTTCCTTCAGCTGAGGAAGAGGAGGGGTGCAGCAAAGGCTGTCCCCCTGCTTGCCCACCCCTCTAAGACAGAAGCAGGCTGAAGGCAGAGCCTCGCTTTCTAATTTCTGGAGGACTGGGTCTTTAATGGCCCTGAGCTGTTTTCAAGCTGCTCAGGGACGCATGCCTGGCTGCCCCCCACCTCCAGATTGACCGCAGCTCCCAGAGTGAGTCAAGCTGTCCTCTGGAGACGGCCGGCCTTCACACAGACAGCAAAGATGCAAATAGTTATGACGAGCCAGGCGCCGGTGGCTCACGCCTGTCATCCTAGCTACTCAGGAGGCTGAGATCTGAGGATCATGGTTCAAAGCCAGCCCAGGCAGGAAAGTCCATGAGACTCTTATTATCTCCAATAAACCACTAGAAAACCGGAAGTGGCGCTGTGGCTCAAGCAGTAGAGCGCTGGCCTTGAGCTGAAGAGCTGAGGGGACAGCGCCCAAGCCCAGACAAAAAAGAAATAGTTATGACATGGTCACTGCTGCTCTGCCTACTCTGAGAATCCTCTCCCTATCTTATTTTCAAAGAAAAGAATGAGTATCTGCCGTTTAAAGATGGCTAGATAAGATCTTGCCAAAAAGCCAGTGTTCTGCTACTTACTGTGTCTTTATTTAAAAAAAAAATAAATAGAAAAGTAGATGAGGGATGAACCCCGGCATGACTCAGGCTAAAGTACTTAAACAGTGTCCGTGGTTGCCTGATGGTGGTAAAGAATGCTAAGATGGGTATGTCAGACCTGAAGGAGCCAGTCAGGACGTTGCAGACGTGACTTTCAGATCTTCAGATGGCATTAGCATCAAATAACACACCTGCTTGTGTTCTCTTCTGGAGAGCCGTGTTGCCTGTGCAAACAGAAGTTCAGCTGAGCACTCTGCAGAGCCCGTGGGCTGCAGCCAGGAGAAGACATCAGCTGAGCGGCCGTGAAGATGTCTCCTCGCACCCCAGCTTCTGCCTCTGTGTCTAGCAGAACCCCAGCTGGCGTGACCAGAGTCCTCATCAACAGTCTCCTGTTCCTGACCATTAAAACTGCCCATTAGAATGGCCCTCTAGCTTAGCAGCCTGCCCAAAGGATTGGACTGCCTCTGAAGAGGTTTGTGGATGACAGAACTTTATTTCCTGTGTCACCCCAGACCTAATCTAACCGGAAGTGTAGCAGAGTGAGCTCGGGAGTGAGCAGAGGAGCTGACCTCCTTTCTGTTCCAGGCTGATCCTGATAGAGTGAAGGCCTCTCTGCGGTGGGGAGATGCCCTGCTGGTGTTGGCACACTCTCCCTGTTCTTTGAGGCCGCACAGCTTGGTGCTTCCCTCCAGCTCTTACACAGGACTCCACCTCCCCAGCACCCTGCAGCACCCAGTCCATTAGTGGAGCTGAAACACTTAAGTCTTTAGGTTCAGTTTTTACCTTGATTCCAAGAGATGTATTGCATTCTGGTTTTACACCTTTCATCGAACTTCTGAAAGTATTTCCTTAAAAATCTATCGCGCTAAAAGGGGCTTATTACTTGGAAAATTAAAATTAACATCCGATTTGTAATCCGATTTGGTTTTAAAATGGTTGTATGGAGTTTCAAATATTACATAGGCTAATAGGTTTTTCACGCTTATGTGTTTACACGCTGTCTTGCCAAAACTAACCATTAACCTTTTCTTTTCAATGGACTCAAAAGAGGTCTCTCTGTGCCCACCAGAGGTCTGACTGGCACTGCCTTTTGTTTGCTCTTGCAAAAGGGTCAGTGTTTGGGGTTTGCAAGTGAGGAAAATGCTCAAGGGGAGCCCAGCGACCCCAGCCCTCCAGGACGCCAGCGTCCCAAAGAGTCAGGCCCCCTGGCCAGGGCTCCCCCGGCCACCCAGGGCTGCCTCTCAAGGAGTGAGTGTGAGCGTCTCCTCGGCCAGAGCGCTCACCTGGTGCTCCTTCCACAGCCCACCATTCCTGAGCGTGAGGCTCACACCCTCGCAGGCAGAACACGGAAGCAAAGCGAAGGCTGCAGGAGCCCTGGTTTGCTGTGTAACTCACAGCACACGAGCTTCCTTTTTCTTTTCTTTTTGTTGTTTTGTTTTGTTTTAGGAAAATACTTTTCCTCTTTGACGTTGCATAGCTTTTTGTAAATGCAGCCTCATGATGAGGAAAATCGGCCTTTTTGTCCATGATGGCTTCTGGACCCTTCTCTAGTCTATAGCTCAGACCCACCTTCCTTCCTTCCTTCCACCTTCCTTCCTTCCTTCCCTCTACTCCCTCTTTTGTGCCAGTCCTGGAGCTTGAACTCAGGGTATGGGCACTGACCCTGAACTTTTTTGCTAATGGATAGCACTTTATTACTTGAGCCACAGTTCCACTTCCAGCTTTTTTTTTTTTTCAGTCAGTTGTGGGGCTTGAACTCTGGGCCTGGGCGCTGTCCCTGAGCTCTTCAGCTCAAGGCCTAAGCCACAGTGTCACTTCTAGTTTTCTGGTGGTTACCTGGAGATGAGTCTCATGGACTTTCCTGCCGGTGCTAGCTTTGAACCTCGATCCTCAGATCTCAGCCTCCTGAGTAGCCAGGATTGCAAGTGTGAGCCACCAGCTCCTGGCCCGATCTCCTTTCTAGTCATTATTTTCTGGGTAGTAATTCTGTCTTGAGGTATTATTGAAAGTAGTTCTCACGTTGCCTTGGACATTTCTTGGACTTCTCTAGCAGTAAGCAGTGCTGCTCAAATCCTCCTGTTTCATGAATAGATAGCTCTCAAATGCTACTCCATCTTGGTAGTGAAATGATGTCTGAGGCTTTGGTGATGGATCAAGTTGTGTGGTAGTTTCCACACAAAAAAACTAATCAGCCTGTGTGCTGTCCACCGTGACCTTAGCAGGTCACCGTTCATGTGACTCAGCCTTCCTCGGAGCCGCAGGCGACCACGTCCCTGGCCTTCTCTGATGACCTGCGCCCTCTCTCTTCCATTGTTTCCCAACGGCTGCTCATTTCTTGGCCTTAGCACACATCTTATGGAGTGTGGATTATGCTAGGCTTGATTTGAAATTGGTGCTTGTCACGCTTCGGGTCTCAGCTTTGGTAGGAGCGCCCAAGCTCATGGCGAGGCTGTGCCTGCCGTGTGGCCTTCAGCGGCGCCGCTGCCCCCGTGGGCCCAGGAGAAACTGTAACGTTTTTGTATTCATGACTGATAATAAAGAAGCTGATACTAAACTATGTTTTACAGGCTTCAGTGTTTAATAAATATTACCCAAAAGGCTTTATTTTTCTTGGGTCCGAGGTCAAGATTTATGAAAAACAAGTTGATAGCCGGGCTAGTGGCTCACGCCTGTAAGCCTAGCTACTCAGGAGGCTGAGATCTGAGGATCACCATTCAAAGCCAGCCCAGTCAGCAAAAGCTGTGAAACTTTTATCTCCAATAAATCACCAGGAAACTGGAAGTGGCGCTGTGGCTCAAGTAGCTGAGCACTTAGCCTTGAGCTGAAGAGCTGAGGGAAAGCATTCAGGTACAGAGTTCAAGCCCCATGACAGACAAAAAGAAAAACAAAGTCAAATGAATTAAGTAAAACTTCAGAATAATTCACAAGGCAAATTTAGTGCAAATTGAACATTTTGTTTCAATTTAATTTATAATTACATGGATTTATCATTCTTAAATGGTTGTTAGTATTCTAATTGGGTATCATTTAACTGCAAACTGACTGCAAAATTTGAGACATTTTCTTGGGTTGTTTCAGTAAGCCTTTTTCTCAGTGTGTACCTGGCACTGAGTCCCTGGAGGCTTCGCCCCCGGTGCGCTTTCCCATCCTGCTTAGTCCCACCTGGTCCCGAGGCCTGGCGGGGTCCTGAGTGCATGGCCGACAGGACTTGCCACGTGGGTTGCCGGCCTAGCCAGCCTTGGCGAGTAGCATTACTCCTAGCTCTAGCAGCATCCCCTGGAGTTTACAAAGCCGACCAACCTGGCACCACAGAAAAGCACCCACAAATTCAGACTCAGAACAAGATCCGGAAGCCAAAGAGCTTTTAAGTGTTATGCCTCTGAAATCATTTGCACCCTTCTGCAACACGGATACCAAGCAGCAGCAGCACGGCTGGGTGGATAGGGCGTGCTCTGTGGGAACCGATTGGTCCCTGAACTTTGCAGGGATTCGCATGGCCTGTGAAATCAGGGTGCAAAGCCGGCCCCGAGGCACAGGGGTCAGACACCTCGCTGAGGGGGTGGGGAGCCTCCAGAACCTCAAGGTGAATGCCTGGAATCACTGGAACGATGTGTTGGACTGCGGTGGAGGAAGCTCGCATCTCGCTGCCGTTCCTTGGGAAGCCTGCCCCTGCCCCTGCTCCTGGAAATGCCTTGCCCTGCAGGCGTGCCAAATTTGGGACACTTGTGATGTTTCCAGGGTCAGTGCTGTCTCCTGGCACCTGCTGGTGGGTGAGTGTGTTTCTCCTTGTGTGTGTACCTCTTGTTGCACACACATGCATGCCCCAGAGAGCACAAGTGAGCATACACACGTCTGTCTTTAGGATTGGTCACAGGCGGTCCACCCCCTCACATTCAAGTCCTGCCTCAGCCAGCTGGACCCCGAGTGGGTCTCCCCCACCCTCCCTGCTGCCTGAACACAGCCATCGTCACCCGGATTCAATGAATAATCCTGGAGCTCGCTGGGGCCACAGCAGAACAGGCTCAGTGCTGGAAGAGGGGCGTGTGCGGGGCTGTCTGCGGCTCGTGCGCGCGGCTGAGCAGTCAGCCCATGCTCATCTCACGGAGGCACGCAGCGCCAGGCTCCCCGCCCGGCTTCCTGGAGCCTTGCTTCAAGCTGACACACTGCTGCTGTTTAAAAGTAGGCATTTACATACACCAGGGCCCCGTGCTCACGCCTACAACCTAGTTACTCAGGAGACTAAGAGCTGGGGGTCCGAGTTCAAAGCCACACCAAGCAGGAAAGTCCTTTAGACTTAACCACCAGAAATCTGGAAGCGGAGCTGTGGCACAAGTAGTAGACATTAGTCTTGAACAAAAGAAGCTCCAGCACAGGGCCTAGGCCCTGAGTTCAAGCCACAGGACTGGTACAAACAACAAAAGCCATTTACATGGTCATTGTCAGGGTCTATCTACATGGTACCGCTAACTTCATTTATTTGAGTGGTTTGTGGTCTAGTGATTTTGGCTCAATGCTACTTTCAAAACTCTCTTCTTGCTGTTTGCACCCCCCCCCATATGTATATATGCAGAAACCCACATGCTGTGGACAGGCACCGCCAGTACTTCCCAGCCCAACTGGTACCGTTTCAAGAAATCCTCGAAGGAGGGGAAAATCACAGATTTGTAAGTGAGGCTCAAGTAAAATGACCAAGTAAAATGCAAGACAGGATTTATTTCCCAGAAGCGGGGAGCACGTGGTTCGGGTGCAGCACCCATGTTGCTCATCTACCAGGTGCTTGGTGGGGGGGGGGGGGGCCTTGAGTCAGACGCAGTATTTCCAGAAGCATTCGGCCACAGCCCCTTGCTGCTGGTGCTGCTTCCTGTTTCTTGCCAAGAGATGGTTCAGTATGGCGCTAGGATCTTGTCCAGGGAAAGCCTGAAACCCAAACATTCCAGAACAACAGAGTTACTTGTCAGTGCATTACAGGTCCTCCCAGAAAGTTAGTCTGGTGGAGCCCAGGGCTGTGAGGAGCAGCATCCGCTGCCTCTGGGCGGCAGCCATCCCCAGGGCCCCTCACAAGTGTCCGCGGGCCCTGCACGCCCTGAACATGGGGTTCTGGAACCCCACGCCTGTCACTGTACAAAAGCCATTGACAGTGCACTGCATTTACTGTCTCACAGCGCATCTCTGGGTGTGAAATTCACTGCTCTAGAGGTTCCCTCTTGGTTTTCTCTTTCATCTATGATGTAGTAGTGACGTCACACTCGTCATCTTGGGCTCTTGGTGTTGACTTGTAATCCTGAGACAAGCATCTGGGAGCTAGCTCTCAGCAGAGCGGCTCTCCCTGGGCCATCGGCTGGCCTTGCTGTGCGGGATTCGGGGTGTCTAGCTTGTTTTGAAGCAGATCCTCGCTAGCTGACTCAGGTCAGTGTTTGGGAGAAGCATGGCTAATGTTCTGAAGGTCTCTGACTTGGGGGCGGGGGGACTTTGTATTCTTGTGTACACAGGGGTGCAGGCCTGGGAGGGGCGCTCTTTTTTTTTTTTTTCCATCAGTTGTGGGGCTTGAACTCAGACCTAGGCACTGTCTCTGAACTTTTTCACTCAAGGTTAGGACTCTACCACTTTGAGCCACAGCGCCACTGCCGGTTTTCTAGTGGTTTATTGGAGAGAAGAGTCTTACAGACTTTCTTGCCTAGGCTGGCTTTGAACTGTGATCCTCAGATCTCAGCCTCCTGAGTAGCAAGGATTACAGGTGTGAGCCACTGGCACCTGGTGAAAGCTCTGTGTTTTGGGGTACACAGGCAGGGTGTGGAGACTGGTTCGCCAGACGGGCAGCCCAAGAGCCCCACAGGAGCCGCCAGGGGCCGGCCACACCCCTGGAGAATGGCACTCCCCACTCCTCTGGCCCAGAGAGGCCTTTCTAGAGCTCTGTCCTGGGCTCATGAGCATGTCTATGTCCATGCACACCACAGTGCCTTGCAGGCTGAGCCCTGGAAACTCGGGGTACAGGGTCTGACTCTGTGGGAGCAGCTGGGGCTGAGGTCCCGCATTTCTCACAAGCTTCTGGCAATTTCGGTGTTGCCGGGCCATGGGCTGCGTGGCAGGCCCCTGACCCCACACGAGTGGAGAGCAGACTCAGGAGCAGGGCTCCCCAAACTCCTTACCTACCACTTGTAATTTACCCCAGACCGGCACTTGGCAGGCAAGCTCCGGTTGCCCTCGTGTTTTAGACACGGTCCCATTTCAGCTATAATTGCCCAGTTGTCTCAGGCTGTGATTTTCACAGAGTCCTCTTCTACTTTCTGAACTTGGAACCCTCACATCAGGGAACTCCCTTACCTTGCTCGAGTTTCCCCTGGTGCTAGGAATGTCAGTTCCCGCATCTGAAAAACAAACGTTGACGGCAGCTTGTGATCTCTGGCTTGTGCTGATGCTCATTTTGAAGCATGCGCAGTAGTGTGTGGCTATGACGGTGGCCTGCTGATGCCAGGCCGGGGAACTTGCTGCTGGGGCTTTCAGGAGCGACCCACGCTCAGCCGCAGAGCTCCTGTGGCTACACAACTAGTAAAAGGCTCCTTGTTTCCCGAGGGTTCTGAGCATGGCGTCAGTGCGTGGAAAAATGACAGCCAATTCTCGGCCTTGGGGTCACACTAATCTTCATAGATTTCAAAATAACCCCAAGAGGCAGGTTAGTTAGTTTGCTTGTGTGTTTTAGAATCGTTTCTATTTACTGAAGAAACAGGTATGGAAAGATGAAGTGATTCACAGGGTTTTAGCAGAGGGGACCGCATGACGTACATCTGCATGCATTGGAAACGTACCCACTAGGGGCGCTGCCCCTAAATAAATGGAGGCGTCAGAAAGCAATGGGTGTCAGCGTGACCTGGGAGGGGAGGTGGGGGGATTGGGGCCAGGACAGGGCCTAGGATTTTACCTTGTCCAGTAGCTGGGAGCCCTTTGCTTGCTTCCCCGGGTCCGTGGTGCTCCAGCACCCCCAGAGCCTGCAGCAGCACCCGGGAAAGTGATGCGCGCTCCAGCTCCTCCGCAGCTCCCTGGGTCTCCTCTTGGGGGGCTGCAGAGTGGGGAGAGGGTGTCAGCCACGGGAGGTGAAGCCCAGCAGAACCTCACACGGGAAGCTCATGGTTTGTCCAATTTGCACGAATCAAGGGGAGCGGGACCTGAGGGCTGTGCCGCGGCCTGCCCGCCCTGCACCTCCTTCCTGTTCACACGCGCTGTCCGGGGCCTTGCGGCCGGTTGTGCAGGGTTAGAGGCAAGGAAGAACTGCTGTGTTCCCCCACAGGCACGGCTCGCTCAAACTGCCTGTCAAGGTGAGACGAACCGGCTCCAAAGCCATTCTTTATTTTCTAGGGATAAAGGGGAATCTGTTAACACCCAGAGTTCTGCCGTGCTGAGGTTTGTGATGAGTGCGAGCAAGGCTGTGTGTGTGCGTGCGTGTGTGAAGTGAACATGGTCGTCACCCCAGCGGGGGACACACTTCGCTGGAGCACACTGGCAGACACATAGCTGTGACCTTGGTGAAGAGAAATGAACAAACCCTTGTAAAGACCTCTGCCGTATTGCCAACGTACGCTAACGCCCATGTGTGAGCCCCGCCACAGGTAAGCGTCTGTGTCGGGAAGGGACACCTCCAGAGCATGGCAAGGGACAAGCCTCTGAGCACTTTGCCGGGTTTGAAGTTAAATAGGCGGGTGCCCTCCTTTCATCTTCTTTAGATACACATAAATCGTGACTATTTGAATATTCATTCTTGACATCTCACTGTGCGCTGGCCTTTTTCAATGGCATGAAGTCCATCAGTGCCCACTCTTAACCAATAAGATGACTCTCACTGCGACCTCTGATTCCACAAGCCAGGTGGTGTGCAGCCAGGAACCCCAGGCAGTGTGCAACCAAGAACCACAGAGACTAAGCTATGAAGTGAGCGGCTTGCAGGAGCTCTAGCCATTATTTAGAAATGTGGCCAAAAGTACCCAAAGTCAAAGACACAACTAAACCCCATGAAGCTTTTTCGTGGAATCTGACGTGCAACCTAATAGTATTTCTAAAATCTCAGAAATAATCACTGCAAAGTAAGTCTCCATAAGTTTTACATATTTTTAATTCAACTTGGACTTGAACATAGAAGAAAAAAGTTCTTGAAATCTCTGAGCCCAGCTGATTACTTTCAAACTTAACAAGACAGCACAAGTACATTACTAAGCTATAATTGGACCAACCAACTCATTTTAAACTTAAAGTGGTAAAAGTTTTTTTTTTTTTGCCAGTCACCAGTGGCTCACACCTGTCATCCTAGCTACTCAGGAGGCTGAGATCTGAGGATTGGGGTTCAAAACTAAGCTGGGCAGGAAAGCCTGTGAGACTCTTATCTCCAATTAACCACCAAAAAGCTGGAAGTGCAGATGTGGTTCAAGTGACAGAGCACTTGCCTGAGCAAAAAAGCGCAGGAACTGTACCCAGACCCTGGGTTTAAACCCCAGTTCTGACAGTATTAAAGTTTTCAGTGTAGAGAAGTTTTTGTTTGTTTTGGTCAGTCATGAGGCTTGAACTCAGGGCCTGAGCACTGTCCCTGAGCTCTTCTGCTCAAGGCTAGCACTCTACCACTTGAGCCACAGCGCCACTTCCAGTTTTCTGGTGGTTCATTGGAGATAAAAGTCTCAGACTTTCCTGCCCAGGCTGGCTTTGAACTGCGATCCTCAGATCTCAGTACCCAGCTCAGAGCAGTTCATGGTGAAATTCTGAGCCCCGGAGGCAGCACTGAAGTAAGCAGGGCTATTCTTGTGCACACTTCAGAAAGACAAAACTGGCACAAGTCAAGGGTGCAGCCAGAGGCCTCCAGTGAGACCCCTTTCTGCAGGGTCCTCGCCTTTCCGCCAGGGGAGACAGGAGGCAATGTCGTCTTACCTGGGGGCTGGAGGGACGCCTGTCTGGGCTGTGTGACGGGGAGAGACCAGGCCGGGCCCAGGGGCAGCAGCAGCAGCAGCAGGCAGCAGAGGGCCAGCGCGGCCATGGCTGGAGATGGGCTGCCTTCCGCTGGGGAGCGCTCAGCGGTGCTTCGTGCCGTGACCACGGCTTTTATATCCTTCGCCCTGTGAGCTCACACGTCCCCTCCAAAAATGTCATCCAGCGTTGGCCGGCGGGCTGGGGCAGTCACTTTGCATTAATGTAATTTTCCAAGTAACAATTCATGGACAATAAATCCATAGCCAGCGAGCCGGCGCCCCGAGCGCGCGGGGTTTACGAGAACCCAGCGCCAATCCTGCCGGGCGGCCGGGCGCGGGTCCACGCGGGGAGGGACGGCTCTGTCCTGTCGGCGTGGGGACGCCGCACCCGCGGACCCGAGTGGAGGCCCCGAGGGGCGTCACACACGGCGGAGCCGCGCCCCGGGCACGGGCGCCGAGGGGACGGAGCCGCCGGGCTGGGCCGCCGGCAAGGGCGGGGGTCTGGTGGTGGACGCTGGGGCTCGGGGCCCCGCCACCGCACCCCAGGCTCCTTCAGATCACCGCTGTTCTTTGTCCAGCGTCCACGCCGGGGCCTCCATGACAGGCCAAGGCCCGACATTCAGCGGCGGGCAAAGGAGAGAGGCTGGGGAAGGGCAGCGAGGGGTGGTGGACAGGTGGAGAAATGGCTGGCGCCCGCGCGCCCTGCAGCTACACGCTGCCCGCAAACCCGTGAACCCACAGCCAGGACTTCCCTCATCGACGACCAGGTACGAGCTGATACCAGACGTGTCAGAAGCAGCAGAAACCTCGGTCCGTCCCACCCACAGGACCCAGGATTCAGACAAAAATGTCTCAAATCTACACACCGCTACAGGTTATCGGTTCAGGTCAACGCTCATTAAAATAATGGATGCCAGGCACTGGTAGCTCACACTTGTAATCCTAGCTACTTAGGAGGCTGGGATTTGGAGGATCATGGTTTGAGGCCAGAAGAAAAGTCCATGAGATGTCATCTCTGGCCAGCAAAAAGTCGGCTGGAGGCATGGTGCAAATGGTAGAGCATCGATCTAACAAGTATGAGGATCTGAGTTCAAGCCCCAGTACTACCCCCCCCCCAAAAAAAAGCAACTAAAAGCTGGCTGTGGCATACACACCTGCAATTCCAGCATTTGGGAGGCCACACCAGGAAGATTACTGAGTTCCAGGTCAGACCTTGGCTACTACAGAAAAATAAATGAAGATGTTAGGGACTTTCAAAGCAGCTGTGCTAAAGGCTCTTTCCTCTCCCCAGGCCTCATGGCACATGTATGTGCGTGTGTGTGCATGTGTGTGTATGCGCACGCACGCGTGTGCTAGACATGCACGGGGATGCATGAAGACCTGATAAGAAGTCACGCCGAGGCTGAGAGAGCTGGGTCTCTGGAGACGCTGGGGAGTTTGGGGGTGGACAGCAAACCCCTTTCTCTCTCCCCGGGACGGCTGCCTGTGCCTGCAGGCTGTGCCCTCCCTGGTGACTCAGGCTCTGACAGTTATTAGTGATGGTTTTATGGTGTGGCCTCATTACGTTAATACCAAAGGCCCAAGCCACTTCCTTCAACAGGCTGTCAGCAGCAGTGTCACCTTGTCCCGGAGCCTGCTGAGTGTGTCACCCACCCCTGCCGGTCCCTGTGCATGAGTACCACGGCTCCAAGTCCTTGTCAGGACCCTGTGAACAGCAACTTCTGCAGAGCTCTGTCTTAGAGCAAATAGCTGATGGCATGGCTCAGGTCTATAATCCCAGCCCGCTGGGAGGCAGAGACAGGGGGATCACATTTCAAGGCTGTCCAATACACAAATATCTATCTGTGAAACCCCATCATAACCAGGCTGAGCTCGGCGGGGCACGCCTGTGGTCCTCGCTACACAGGAATCGCCATGCTGTGCCCGTCACCCCAGTGGCTTGGGAAGGCATAACCCGGAGGATCACAGTCCGGGCTGCCCAGCACGGAGGGAGACTCTGCTTTGGAAACAGCATAGAAAGGGACTGGAGGTATGGTTCAAAAACCAGACTCTACGTTCAAATCCAAGGAGCACCAAAACAAAGCAGAAGGGCATGGAAAGCTGGGGACTGTCCTGAGGGGGCATAGGGCGTGACAGGGCACTGCAGGGAATAAATGAGCGGCTCTCAGCCCCCACTCGGGGCGCTCCAAGCCCGCGCTCTCTGCTGCCAGCTCTACCTCTACAGCGCTCACGCCTGCCATCCTAGCTACTTGGGAGTCTGAGATCTGAGGATCATGGTTTGAAGCCAGCCCAGGCAGGAAAGTCTGCAAGATTCTTATCTCCAATTATGCAGCAAAAAGTTGCAAGTAGAGCTGTAGAGGCCTGAGCAAAGAAAAAAAAGGCTGAAGGTCAGTGCCCAGGCCCTGAGACCAGCCCCAAGACCAGCACTACGTAAATACGTGATAGATAGATAGATAGACAGAGAGATAGATAGACAGGTAGATAGTCAGACAAACAGACAGATAGATAGGTGAAAGACAGATAACAGGCCGGACTTCCCCAGCCCGAGGCGCCCGGAGGCCAGGGTCTGAGGCCCACGCCTTGGTCAGTGACTACAGCAGTGACACCTGGGAGGGGCCACCCAGGCGGCCTGTGAATTCCCTGACGCGGCCACAGTCACGCAGACCCGGATTGGGGGCTCAAAGCTTCTCGCAGCGGCTCCCGCAGCCACGGGGGAGGGGGAGGGGCGGCCGCTCAGCGGCAGTGAGCGCACGGAAGCTTTCCACAGGGCAGTCGTGATACTTGCTTGGTCACTCAATAAAAAACTTTTTTTTCTGGTTCTGGGGCTTGAACTCAGGGCCTGGGCGCTGTCCCTGAGCCTCTCTGTGTCAAGGCTAGTGCTCTACCACTTGTGCCACAGCACCACTTCTGGCTTTTTCTGTGTATGTGGTGCTGAGGAATCGAACCCAGGGCCTTGTGCATGTGAGGCAAGCGCTCTACCACTGAGCCACCTTCCCAGCCCCACTTCTGGTTTTTTGAGTAGTTTATTGGAGATAAGAGTCTCATGGGGACTTTTCTGCCCTGGCTGGCTTCAAACAGTGATCCTCAGATCTCAGCCTCCTGAGTATCTAGGATCATAGGTGTGAGCCACTTACAACTGTCAGGAAGTGTGCAAGACATGAGGGATATGATTCAAGCCCAAAAA